CAAATTCATAGAAATGTCAGTATGAGGTCCTTTTTTCCCTCTTTATTTGCTCGAGTATTGCTACTGTAAAGCAGAGATGTAGAAGGAGGTTTGGTAACATTGACTGTATATAAGGATGGACAACATGTCTCAGAATTCTTCTTATGAAACTCAAAGAGAAGCCAAAATATAACTGCCAACTTGCACTTGAGAAAAATGTGTTTGACTGGTATTTTTATTTTCTTATTAGACCCATGTCCCATCTGTTAACATAGAGGCGTTCTTCATAACCTGTACTGTAGCCTGCCACCAGGGGCACAAGTGAAATATTTTGGCTTCACTCTTTGAGAACTGTCATGTCATCTAGCTTTCTACACATGCTGTGGTTGGATACAGAGACGTTACAAACACAGTGCAGCAACAAAAATCCCCTTTGGTTTCCCAAAAACATTTCCCCCATAGGGCACTGTGGTAGCAAAGACATCTATCAATGCATGTCTTTCTGCAAACTCCAGGAAATCTAAACCTCTTGGGCTGTTAAAAACTTAAAAGATAGAATAACAGCCAATCAACTCTGTGCTGTTCTGTATGAATAGTGGAGGAAGAGTCAGCTTGTCGATGGAGGGGGGGTAGGTGAGCCTCTTTCATTATCAAAAAGCATAATAATCAATCCATCAATCAACCAACCAAATGTTTAACCAATCAAATAATCACTCGATCTGCCAGTCAAGAATTCAAAGAATCAATCAGTCCGTCAATCAAGCATGTTATCAATCAACCAATGGGGAAAGCATGGCTTGGAGTTTTGGGGTTCATGTGTAGCAGGCACACTCTGGGTCTATTGCTACTGAAAACAGCCCTTCAGCACAACTGCAACCTGAAATACGCCTCGCAGCAGAGTTCAGCAGTGTCTTAAGTATTGACCTAGTTTATATGGTTTTCTATTCTCAATAGAATCTAGTAGAAATAGAGTCCAGACGGTGCCAGTAAAGTTTTTTTTCTTTTTTTCCTTTTCTAAATGAGTCTAGTAAAGCGTTAAGTAAAGGTCCCCCGGGTGACCACGACAACAGAGACAGAGAGAGAGAGAGAGAGGTTGTTCGAAATATTGAGATCAAAGCAGACTGAACAAACGCTGTACACGCACACTTTGACACTTCATCTTGATAAAAACGAGCAGAGACACTGCTTCACAGCTGCTTCATGCCGCTGTATTCCCCTCTTTACCTGTAGAGCCACAATAATACTGCCAGCGCTGCATCAGGGAAACCAGAATTCATACGATTTCACCAAACGCTCCGCTTGTAATTGTGCATTTTTAGGTTGTTTAGGTTCATACAGGGAGAAAAAGCTCGTGTTAACTAAAATGTCACCAAACTCACTTAAAAGGTTTTCGCAAACAGTTATTGCTAGACGCGATTTATTTTTGTTTGCTTTTTTTTGTTTCTCTGTGCAAAATGGATAAAGAGCCGTTTCTTTCGGCCTCCAGGACACAGCGTACACGTGCAAAAGTAAAAAAAACCCAAAAAAACAATTTTAATAAAAATAAAGCAAGTTAATAAATAAATAAATACATTTTTAAAAGTTATGATTTCAAGAGTCTCCGTTTAAACTGAATAAGGTCCTATTGTTTGCCAAATCCTGAAAGTGTGATTCAAAGGCTAAAATAATTTTGTTTTGCATTCTTGAAAACATGGACGTGTAAACCTTAAGTTTACTGCCAAAGACAAAAAAAATCTCTAATCCTTTTTGTTTTTCTAATTTAAAATAACCTCAGCATATGAATCAAAGGTAATTCAACAATGTATCTCTTCAAACTTGAATTGAAACTCTTCAATCATTTCTAAGGAAACAAAACACAAAACGCTTTTAGACACATCACACCAGTGTCCTGGAAAAACCTGCCCAGCTGCAGCCATTTTTTTTACATTCAAACTAGTTTGTATACTTTGTTAAAAAAAGACATTTTTTTTAAATTGAAGTTCTTAATTCAAAGAATCTTTTATCGCACAGCATCAGCTGTGTTTAGACCAAAAGTGATGCAACATCTTAGCGAGGGTTTTGCATTCAAAGTCAATGCAAAGACATTTATTTCACGTCAAGCAGTTTTTGCAAATTTGAGAAAGTTCAATTCAAGAAAGAAATTCACCTGTCACAACATTTCCTGAGCTTGCACCAAAAGTTGTGAATCCAAACTCCATTCATAAAAGAAGATTTTAAAAGTGTTGCCCGAGTGCAGACACACCTGACGACACATGAATTGTCCCTTTATAGATGGTAAGGTGCTTGGGAGGTGAGGCTGAATGCTAATAGTAGTAGACACAGTTAATGGTGAAGGAGGTGATTAAAGACCAATAATCCTGCAGTTAAGAGTAATGTCAGGTCAGTATACGATTCACTTTAAGTCCAAACACACCATTATGTATTCTTCTGTTAACAGTCTATCATCTTCTGATCCTCAATACAACCTTTAAAGTCCAAAAACAACTTTCATTTGATTCTACTTAAAAATGCTGTTTGTGTAAAAGCATGAAATATTTTCTGCTTCTCAAAATAAATGTGACTCCCAACACCATCCTGCTGTCCTCAGGACTCACAGGGCCAAATCCACCGCTGAAAGTAGTTCCTAACAGACACAATTTCCTCCTTTTGGTAACTTTAACTCTGAATAGAAATTTGTAAGCTGCTTCTAAGTAATTTCATATTTAGGAATCAGGTTCGGTAATGAATATTGTTAGTATTTTATAGTTTATAGAAGTTGGCATTTATGCAACATTTTGGATGCAGCTTTTAAAAACCACCAAAGAAGAAGAAGAAGAATATTCTGCATTAAACTCTGCTCAGAGAAACAGCAGACAGTAATAAGCAGCTGATGTGAGAAGAGGTTTTTCCAGGACACTGATGTCCTCCAAGTCTGAATCACAAAGCTCAGCATGAGCTTCTCATAAAACTAAAAAGAGAAAAATCCTGATGTAGATGAACTGATTTGATTGTCGCACTCCGGTCAGGGCTGGACTACGCCTCAAAGATCTTCAAGACTCTGGTTTGAGATCTTGTGTGTGTTTGGCCAAACTCCACCGACCAGACGGATAGAACATGACAGCGGGTGATTTGTCACAAAGTCAGCAATGGGAAGAAATGACGTTTATTTAACCCATGAGAGTGTTCTTTTATTACCACTGCATCTTCCAATTTAAGATTTTTTCTAATAGGTAACCAATCAATTCTCCTTTGTGTTAATTCTGGACACTTCTCTTGTTATCTGTTTATTTGCTTTCTGCCTAATGTTGTTCACGTTCCATGTTCATAAATAAAAAAGTAAAAAAAAATATATAGGACACTTCAATCAATGACAATATATACCCTTATCTAGGGTTTTTTTTTAAATGGCATTTAAAAAAAAAAACATAAACAAGTAACAAAAGTAATTCCAGCAAGAGCACAGAGATGTCCACATTAAGGTATCTCTTTTGATAAAAGCCTTAAAATGCAAAGAGTGATGGTTTATTGCACACTTATTGCAGTCTGATCCTTTATCCTGCTTTGAAAGGTAAACTAACCTGAGGTATTGATGCCTTAAGGTTATTATGATATGAATATAGCTGCATAAATAGATGAGTGGGAAAATGAGTTGGGTTTGGATTAAAGGAAATAAAGATTCAACTTAAAGATAAACTTGACTTTTAACGACACATTTCAACACTTCTTTTTCATACGCTAGTCATACGTTATCGATAAATAAATGATCAGCCTTGACAACAAGCCTGTTTCCTCTACTTTATCCTCATGCATTGTTAAAACAAAACCCAGCAGGATTACGAGTCGTCTGTCCTAGTTTGTTCATAAAGCAAAGGGAAGCAAAGGACTTAGAGACAAATCACCCACTGGCCAAAAGAAGTGATGGACACTGGGATGTTGACAACCCGGGCAAAAACACATGTAAAGAGTCCGGGACTCTGTATAAAATCTCATTGTGCACTTATTTGTTTTTGGTGTTATCTCAAAGGTTTTCAGAGGAAAAATAAATGTATCCCAGGTCCTTTTTCTATGCGTCTTTGTCCAGGTGTCATAACGTGACAGCACATGTAAACTCAAGAGCGAAAAACAGCAACCAAAAAAGATGAAGTTGTTTTCAGGTTTTTTAGCTTTTTTCCCCCCGTGCTGCACCCTCTCCTCTCACCAATCACGACCATGGTGGTTCAGCCAATTTCTCTCAGCTCGTACTGCTCATAAGCCCAAAGAGAGAGACTGCTCATTTTATCATCAACTTACTCTAAAAAATATAAAAAATAGTAATAATCGCACCGCTATTAAAAGACTGGTAACATCGACAAAGTTATACTTTTTACTACGAAAACATTTTTTTAAACCACGTTGTCGTTATTTCCCTCCTCTCTCGAGTCTCGGTCAGTCGGAAAGCTGCCGACTGTTAATGTGTCGAGAAACACCGCTAGGAACAGCGTACTCTTACAGACAGGCGTACTCTGAGAATATTGATCAACTGTGGGAGACGCAAACCCCCCAGGCCAATAAATGATGGATAAATCTGATATAGTTGTTCTGATCCCTCTGACCCACCATGGCCGAGGTCAGAAGTCTGTCTGTGTTGCGAACCCTTTGCTCCGGTTCGCACCAGAGACCCAAAAAGGTCAAAGGGATCTACACTTCTGTCTTTCACTCCAACAAAGGCAGGGTAGATTTGACAGATGGGATTTCCCCTCTGTTATTGCAGTTTTTCTGCTTCCCTTTAAGAAGAAACTCCAAAAATGCTGTTGAGTTCAGTCCAGGGATCTCCACAGGGAACAGGAAACGACATTAAAGGTAGTAAATATTCCGCTTCACTTGCTCCTTCACTCTCCGCCTCCTGCAGTCGTCATAGCTTCACTTTGCCGCTTCGTTCCTCAGCGTTCTTCAGCGTTCCTCAGCTATGGTACATTCAGTAAACAAAAGAACAAACAGGCTTAACCCAAAACAAGGACATCCTCATTTGTTTTTTTTTTGTTTTTTTTGCTTTTTGGTTCCCGTTATGGTACAGTTCCCTGCTGTCTGTCAGGGGTGACCACTGACGGCGACTGTTCACTTGGTTCACCGCCTGCAGTCTCTACAGTTATTGTTTCTGTTTTTACTGCAAGCGGGTGAAATATCTCAGATGTGGCTCGAGTAACGCTGTCGTAGGACGGCGGGGACGAGGTGGAGGAAAGAGTCTCCGAGCGCTCGATCCCCAACAAACTAGACCCATAGTTTTCCCTCATCATGGTGGCGATCAGCCCTTCTTTCTCTGGGGCGTCCTCACTGAATGCTTCCTCGCCGCCATCGTCCGCTTCAGCTCCCACATGCCGGGGTGTGGTGATCTGGCGGTACAAGTAGGAAGCGGCCTTCATCTGCCGCCTAATCAGGTGCCTCCGGTAACACCTCTGGATCACTGTGGCGGAGACTTCTTCCTGTTTTCTCCTCAGGGTCGTCGTTATCGGCTCATAGGAAATCTTAGACGGATTGGCCATCATGAACTTCTCCTCCATCTGCTGCTTTAGGGCGTCCATCTCGCCCGACTCGCCCAGGACTCGCTTTGTGAAGGCAAAGAGGATGTCCAAGCAGTGGATCTTATCCCCGCTGACCATCGGCAGGTCCATGGAGATCAGTTTGATCTTATTAGGCTTGGAAATGCGAAGCGGCTCTGAAAGCGAGTCGGCAAAGTCTGATAGTTTAGCGTACTCAATGAACTGTGTGGCCTCTGGGTCAAACTTCTCCCAAACCTCGTAGAACATCTCAAAGTCGTCCTCGCTCAGCGGCTCCGTGCTCTCCTCTGTGGCAACGCTAAAGTTCTCAAGGATGATGGCGATGTACATGTTCACCACTATGAGGAAGGAGATGATGATATAGGTGACAAAGAAGGTGATGCCCACTGATGGATTCCCGCAGTTCCCCCGCACGGTGGTGCCGGTGTGCGGGATGTTGGGGTTGCACTCCTCAGGGGAGTTGTTGAGAATGGGACTGAGCAAACTGTCCCAGCCTGCAGAGGTGGTGATCTGGAACAAGCAGATCATACTGTTCCCAAATGTCTCAAAGTTGAACATGTCGTCGATACCCGCTTGTCGTTTCACATAGGCGAAGTTAGCCATGCCGAAGATGGCGTAGATGAACATGACCAGGAAGAGAAGGAGCCCGATGTTGAAGAGAGCAGGAAGGGACATCATAAGGGCAAACAGTAACGTCCGGATGCCCTTCGCGCCTCTTATGAGACGCAGAATCCGACCAATACGGGCCAGTCGAATCACTCTGAACAGTGTTGGTGACACGAAGTACTTCTCGATGATGTCTGCCAGAACGATACCTGGAAAAGAGAAAAAAATACAGTGTTTTATACAGTGTTTCTATCACACATTTTAATCTTCAAGACCTGCAGATATTCAGATGTATAAATGTAAGATTTTGCATCTGTCTATAGTTGTTCAGAAACGCTGCTTACACTTCCTGAATTTACGTTATTTGAAGACGGCAGCCAATAGAGGTTATTAGCCTCTAGAAAATGTTACTTGTTTTTTCTTCTCCAAAAAGTAGCCTAACATAGTATTAATATATATATACTTTATCTGCCACCTCCTACTAGGCTACTGTTTTGCTACAGTAAAGAAGATCACTCGAATGTTAAAAAATCTCACTAATGTCTGTGTTCATTCACACATTTTAAGACTTTCTAAGACTTAATGTTTTAACTGCAGGCTCAGCAGACAAACAGACAAACACAATAAATATGTTTCATGGTAAAACTCTTGGGTTCTTCCACACTCCACACTAAAATGATCATACCTGCAAATTGTGAGCCCTGTCAGTTAAAGGAAAATACACTTATTAATATATCATTCCCTAATGAGTTAAACCATAGACTGTATAAAAAGATGGACAATATGACACCTCCTAAAAGAGAGAAATTGAAACCAAAACATTTTGAACTTCCCCAACTGAATGGCTGCAGTTTAGCTCATAAGCTCCGCCTCCTCTATGTTAACATATGAGACATAAACTATCAAATCAAAATACACTCGAGATATATATTACTGACACATGATTTCTGTCATTATCATTATGTTCTTATGATGATTTATGTCCTAGTGTTAATTTTTTCAAATGAGATTAGTTGTGGGGGTATTTTGGATTCACTTTTGGACAAAAGGAGGATCTGTAGACACATTGTCCACCTTTATATACAATCAATGCTAAAGAGCCACCAGCTTCTTATCAACTTTTAAAAAGCACAAGTGATGGACTATTCTATATATTCAGACATCTCTAACGTCTCTAACTCTTTAGGATGATAATCATTAATAAAAATTGATCTTTGTGTTAATGTGATTTCATGGGCTCATCCTGCAGGACGGGTTTCATCTGCAGAGACGCTGACACAGGAGAAACTATCTGCAGTATTTTTCACTTAAATCACCTACAATCGATAAGCTAAGGACTATTACAGGATCAAGATTTTCTTGTATTTGAGGACATTCCTGTGAGTAACATCATCTAAAAGCTTTCCGTTTGGATGTTTCAGTCTTTATGTGGCAGGTCTGCTGTGATTACAACGTGAGAAATTGGTTCTGGAGGGCTGAGCTGTCGTTCCCCTCCAACAGCAAGTCAAACACTGTAATTCATCCGTCTTTTCCTTGTTATCCCGGAATGATAAAGTCAAAGAGGAGCTGGCCTGTCACCACCAGACCCCCACCACATCTGACCACACACACATATGAACACACACACCTCTCACCCGTCTCTCTGTGTTGAGTTATGGGTGATGGAAGGGATGAGCGGGGGGGAGTCGAGAGGGAATCACCATCACATCGTACATCAACTCAACTGCCCCCCATCCTGACATGTCTCTCTCTCTCTCTCTCTCTCTCTCACACACACACACACACACACACACACACACAGCTGATGTAACAGGTCAATCATGTTTGATTTGTCTCCAGGGACCGCCCTCTGGCAGCTCTGATTGCTGCTGTTACCTTCACCTCCCCCCAGACAGCCTCGTCTGAGCGTGTGGGCATAACACGCATCCACACACACACACACACACATGCACACACTTAATTACACACATACACATACACACACAATCCTTTCACAACACTGATAGCTAAATTACCTGCTAAGGTTGCTCTGTGCTGCCTCTGTAGACTGTTCTGTCATGAGTGTTTGAAGTGTGTGTGTGTTGGTGTATATGACCACACAGGACCTTGATGCGAGTAAAACATCAAGGCCGCCCGGATGGTCAGTTTGTTGACAGATAACTGTCAGGCAGACAGTACACACACACACACACACACACACACACACACTCAAATAAACACACACATACAGTACATGACGTGATCTTCTATAATTTAGGCGTACAGATTGATACGTTTGAGATATTTTCGCAGCTGTCATATTTTAATGTTAGATTCCGGCTGCTGAATCCGGAACGCTTTCTCTGTATGCATGACACATCTTTAGCGTGCAAGGTGGTGAATCATAACCAGTTAAATGAACATTGTGACTCCTGTTAGCGTGCTGCATCTCAATGTGAGAGCTACAAATGTCCTTGAGGCCTCAATCAGTAAAAGATAAATGTTGAGAAAATTACAAATTTGAGATTTAAGGATAATGTTGTTTTTAAACCTGGCCCTTGTTTGGAACATCTACGGAAGCCCTAAAAGCTCAGTTGTGTTCATGTCCAATACACATACAGTTATAGACGGAACCTTCTGTCCGTACTCTGAATTCATTTTGTTTGTATTTCAGCACGTTTTCTTAAAGCTTGCTGATACAAACTACACGTTGCAATCCCACCGGAAATCATAGGGGGCAGTGCCGAGTCATGTCGCCAACAGTTCAATAAGTCATTTATTTCTTCTTCATTGTCGTCAGATTTTTTAAATTCCTCTTCTGTTTTGGTTTCTTATAAAACATCCTTTGTGAAACTTCTAAAATAGTCAGTATGATGATCTGTTCGTTCCTGAAGAGCGTTTGACTCTCGACCCCCTCCCCCTCCCCCGGGAAGCATTTCAACTCACCGACGATGGAGAGGATGACGACCACGAAGTCGAAGATGTTCCAGCCGACAGTGAAGAAGTAGCACCGCAGGGCGATGATCTTGATGAGGCACTCGATGGTGAAGACGATGATGAAACCCAGGTTGATTTTGTACAGGATGTTCTCCATCTGAGGCGACTGCTCGTCCGTCTCCACCATCATGGTGATCATGTTGAAGAGGATCATCACCATGATGATGATGTCGAACACCTGCTTCCCCACCAGGTCGAAGAAGAAGCCCTGCACTGAGTTCTGCAAAGACACAAACTTACATTTATCAGCAATTGCTTCATTCTGACTTTTTGAAAGAAGGTTGAAATCAGTCTCCAAATCTTCAAACATATAGTTTTATTTCTCTCATCCTGATTGCCTTCATGGTAACTTTACTCTGTTGGTCTGTTCTATACACTCGACATCTCTCAAAGGATTCCCCTTCTGTTGCTCTGACTGACATTTTCTCTACTGTCTTGGATGTTTCTATAAATATGGACTAGAACTGAACAAATATGATATTTAAAGCTCTTTTTGCCCTTATTGGATACATGCATGGGTGTATTTTTATAGCGCATTGGTACCAGAGGTCTGGGGATCGGCTTCTGAGGTTTTTTGGATCCCAGTTTCTTCATGGCGTTGTAATATTTCTTCTGCTCCTCCGTCATGAAGATGTCCTGTCCTCCTAAGTAAACAGAGCAAAAAAAAAAAAACTCTGTTATTTTCCCCGAGCTGCCGCATGTTGACTCAAGCCAATAAACACATATAGATAAATAAATGAACAAACAGGCGGTGTTGTTTAGGATTTCATTTGTATTATTCTGTCTCTCTTGCTGTGGTACTCATCTTTCTTTTCTGCTGGTTGAAGTTGTCGATGATGACACCGATGAAGAGGTTGAGGGTGAAGAAGGAGCCGAAGATGATGAAGATGACAAAGTAGAGGTACATGTACAGATTGCTCTCTTTGATAGGCTGCTCCTCCACCTGACAGGAACACACACATACAGTATGTCAATTTACACAGATTTACACTTCCTGTTTCCCTTTATACAAACTGTTCATGTCTCTTATCTCTTCTTATTCTACTTTATTTAAGTTCACTTTATTTATTTATTCCAATCACATCCAAACTCTTGTCCATTCTTGTCATTAATCCAGTGTTCAACAGTTAATCTCAGTTTGAAACCTCGTCCACTGTATTCAGTTACACCTGACTTCATTCCTTGTTACGTCTGATCTTACACCTCTTCTTACCGGATTTTCTTTACAATTCTAGTTCACACATATTTAAACTCTTTTTTGATCCATTTTCAAGTTTTTAATTTGAATCCGATCTAATCTGGAGGACAAACAGATCCAGAAAAAGGAGAAATCTTCTTAAACTTACCGATCTTGAGTCCACCGCTGCATACATGATATCCATCCAGCCCTTGAACGTGGCCTTGGAAAAAAAGAGAACAAAAAAATTATAATATATTACGAACATTGACAAGTAAACAATTATAATTTTTGTGTACATTTGTTTTATTTAAAGCCATTTTATTCTGGGTCACGAGATGTTATTTCTGGTCTTAAATCAAGGATTCGAGGAACTTTAAGTCCCTGAAGGACTTTTTAGGGAACACAAAGAGGTTCTCAGGTCCAACTTTAAAAAACTGTGATAAACAACAAATTTCGAAACTCACAGGTCTTTCACACTGTCAGAAAACTCCTGACACTCCGGATATTTGCAGGAACAGCTGTATTTGTGAACGCAAACAGCAACTTTTTTTTACGTTTTGTTGTTGTTGCAGTTATTAGTTTTTTTTTTTCTTGGTTAGTCGTTGTTGTTCTATTGTTGCCTTACTGCTGTTTGCTGTTGTTGTTATTTCTATAATGTTATTTCTATTTCAGAGGTTTTACACCCCGTCTGATCTGACAAAGACTCTTTTTTCAGTGAAACATCACAGATACATTCATCAGTAAAACATTTACTCAGAGCAGGTCATCTTTGACAGGGTACACCTCCTCGCACTGACAAACCATTATAATAGCAAGTGGTAACCCATGGCGACAAGCTGATTTCAGGTCTGAGTGACAGATTACAGACGCCCACGCAGACCAAAGAATTCTGCTTCTTCACATCTTCTCTCCTTCCTTCTACCTGCTCTTTCTTCATCTTTCTGCTTATCTCAAACCTCTGTCCCTGCCCAACTTGAGGAAGGAAGTCCATATAAAGACTTGTCGGCCTTTCATTGAGAAAACAGAGCGGCGGTGTTTCCATGGTGCTCTCTCGCTCTCTGTAGGTCTTCTAATTTTCTGCTGAAACGGGAAAGCTGCATGGAGGTCCTTTTTGTTCGCTTATTCACTAAAGGGCAGGAAATGTGCACATCGAGGTCGTCAGAGAAACCCAGAACACACTTGACACACATTTAAAAAAAAAAGAAACGGGGGATCTGAGTTCACCTGCATCTTTGATAAAATGTTGCAGGTAAAACTGATGGATGAAGAAAATTGGTAGAGGGCTGAAAAAACTGATAATTCTGTCCTTCTATCCAATCATCACCTCAAAAATCTGGCAAATGCAGTGTACCTGATTTACCAGCGTACAGTACAACAGCAATTTACAGCATTTTTTGGCACCTTGAAACCAAAATTCTTCCTGCTTATGCTCTCTAACTTACTGTACATGTTTACAGTTGTGGCTGTAAACTAATTAAACCAGATATTCACTAACTGATATTTACTAACTTACATCTAGAAACCTATCAAAATGAAAAGAAATGACGAGCGGTTAGTAGAAAATGACTTCCAGGGGGCTTGCTCATGGGCACTTCGGCAGTGTTTAGGAAGTGAACTGGCACCTCTCCAGCTACCAGACCAATTTCCAGACATGGTCCACACCAGGACTTAAACTGGCCACCCTCCGGTTCCCAACCCAAGTCCCTAAAGACTGAGCTACAGCCATCCCTAATTAAGTATTGAGAGACTAGATGGATTTGTCATCTTTAAAATTGTTCTAACAACCTTTTTATTTAACGTTAGAAACTACCCAGTAACTATCCAAACAAACAGAATAATTCAGGTGTCAAAATAAAATGTCTGAAGACCCCGAATCTGCATCTCTTTCCCTCTATGAATTATTCTCCCTCAGAATTATTATTTTTTTAATCTCACCTTTCCTATTTTGTCGTTTTCCCTTTTCTAACCCCTATTTTCACTTCACTTTCCTCCATCCTCTTACACCTGTCAGGCTCCCTCCATCTTTTTAAATCTTGTTTTATTCGTCTCTCTCCCTTCTTGCCGTTTCTCTTTCCATTTGTTGTATAAAGCCTTTATTTCCTTACACTACTTTTTCGTCCTCTCTCTCTCTCCCTCCATCTCTACATTTCCCTCCCACTTGGCTGGAGTCGCTCTAAAAATAAAAGCCTCTCAGACGCTGATTGATTGGAGGCTCTCAGGACTCCTGTGGTGGGCGACGGAGAGCGAGAAAGAAAAAGAGAAAGGCGGGAAACGACAGCCTGTAAGGAAAGAAAGTTAAGTGATGTAGAGACGGAAAGAGGAGGACTCAGCGGAGGAAAAGTGGAGTTGCAGTGGCTGTAATTTTCCTTGTTCATGTTGTGTTTAATAAGGAGGACACTGAGACAAGAAAGGAGGGATGTATGAGAGAAAAAAACGGAAATACATGAGGAGCGAGAGTAAGATTAAATGATAAAGAGAAAGAAAATGGATGAAAAGACGCAAATTGAGAGCTGTGCTCCATATTTAGCCAAAACATTCTACTTATGTTTTTCTTAACATACTGTAATTTAAACTGTCAATTATATTTCCTGTAAATGGATTACTGAAAGTCAAAGGCTTAAAATGATCTTACACTGCAATAGTAATATAAGAGAAATTTAAAATCCAACTCTGTTTATACACATCCCATAATATAAAAACTGATACAACACAAGACAACCCGATATGATATGTTACATTGTGTCACAAAGCGACATGAAAAGACATGACATGACACAACACGCAGTGTTTCCCACACATAGACGATACCTGGGCGGGTACCTGTTTGTATTTAATTTTTCATTTATTCATAAAATTGCTGCATTCATGAGAGAGCGAGAGAGAGAGATCGAGAGAGAGAGAGAGAGAGAGCACAGGCGAGAGAGTGCAGGAGCGCGAGAGGACCTTACGGCTCTGTGCAACACAACGAAACTTCCTCTCGAGTACTGTGGAGAGATAAGACACAGCAAAACCAAGAGAGCAGATGCACATCAGTTTCTCAGAAGGTCCACTGCCCGTACATCCCTCTCATTAATGCAAAGATTGAGGTGCCTTGCTCCTATCAAAACTGAAGCTTCTCATGGCTGTGTTTTAAAAATGTTAATGTTCACGGATGTTGTGCAGAACTATAAATAAATAAATATCCAGTGGAACTTTTCAAAACACGAGGCGTAGTCCTGGTGTTTGTGTCTGTGCGCGTGTGTCGATAAATTGAGCAGATAAAAGTTTTTTGTCGCAAAAACTAAATTAATTTAGAGGGAAACACATATTTGATATAAATACAAAACGTTTTTTAAAAATATGCCCTCAGATAAGAGTAAAATAAATTATGTGGACCCCCTGCAAATTTCTTACCTTCTTCTAACATAACAGCTAATTCTGATTAAGTATTGGATTTTAAAAAGGCTAAATGAAAAATGAAAAGGGTTAAAGGGAGCAGATGCAAAAACAAAAGAGAGAAATAGACGGCGACAGAGCGAGAGAACAGCAGTGGAAAGAAATTAAAGCTAACACGACAAATGGAGACGAGTGGCGGAGGATGAGCGCAGAAGTGGAAAAGTCAAAAGTGAGGGCGATAAAGAACAGGTGTGGGAGGAAAATTAAGGCTCAGACAGTAAATGGACAGAGAGAAAGAAGAGACAGAGGGGAGCAGAAAAGTCAATCCTCCTACGTCTTGAGGAGGAGACGCTCGGTTTTAATTTGTTTTAAAGGCGCCATGCTGGAGACGACTTTTCGCTTTGTGCTTGTTTCTTCTCCGGAAGCTCTTTGTCTGTGTGCTGACAGATTTACATCACATTTATCTTTCATTTAAAGGGACATGCCAGTGTTTTCCCTATTATTTTTTTTCATATCCCCAGGTCCAGAGGATTACCTGTAACGGCTGCAACTGAATCCTTTGGAGCAGATGTACCTTTTCAAATCATGTGTTAGGGTTAACCCTAAGTTATTTTGTGTTGGATCCAAAACAAAGAGAGATGGGAATGCCAGCTGTAACGAGGCACAGGTCAAATTTGAACCCGGGCTGCCCGCTGGGAGGACCACAGCCTCTACACATGGGGTGTGCGCACTAACCACTAGGCCACCTGCGCCGCCTGTTTTTGTGTTTTTTAAATGTTTTTTTGGTTCGAGTTCTTTACTTTTTCTTGTTTGTCAAAACACTTTTAATTCCCTTGTTTTAAAGGGTGCAAGTTATGATTATTATGATTATTGTTTTTTTAATTAAAAACACACATTGTAATTTAGTACTACTTTACTGGTCTGGAAAATATTGGAGCTGTAATTAAATAAAAAGATTGAGTCATGTCTTGATGAAATCGACTGTTCTGAAAAGATGAAGTTGTTGTGTTTAATAGATGTAGAAACAGCGCGTTAAGTGATAATATTTCTTTGTGTTCCCGAGCGGGGGCAGGAGAAGCCTCAGCCTACGCACAGAGGTGATTTTAAGTGACTAAAAGCCTCCTAAAAGGCTCCTAATGAATTGTGATTCACTCTGCGGTAAAGCCTCCTCTCTGATCACCGCCTGACACTAAAATGACTGAAGATGTTGTCATGATGCTCTCAAAAAGGGCTGCGGAAGATTTTTTAACAAGTCCAAGATCCTCGGATGATGTAACGTTTCATCCTTTGTTTGTTTGCTGTAATACGAAACGCTTCCTTAAGTATTTCCCATTGGATTCTTTAAAGTCACCACATTTGCTGTGATTGATATATCGGTGACAGGCCTGCTGATGTCCATTTTTAGATCTCAAAGAAGCTGCAGACGTTTACTCTACTACATCATAAAGGAATAATACAGATGGATGACAAATGAAAATAACTTGAATGTTTGACCGATACAGTAAGTGCGTCTTATTGTCCATTTAAAGAGTGGAAAAGGTTCAATAAAGACCTCCTTTAGGTAACTGTGTCTGGTTTAATTTGACATCCAGTACTACAGCTATGTGAGGCTGATCAGTGTCGAGTTTGATAATGTTTAGCTTAAACTTAATTCAGCTGTGAATACATTTCAATAAACAGTTTAAAATTACGTCAACATTACTACATCAGGAAGACGATTTGAAAAGTCTGAAGTCATACTTTGTCAGGTCTGAATACGAGACAACAGGCGAGAAAGTTTGAAAATGTTTGTTTTTCTGAAGGAGTTTGGATCTATGAACTTCAAGCGAGGTCCTGATCCTCTTCTTTATAAATACCCATAATCCCCTGAGCCAGTCTCTCACCACTTGCAGCAGAGCGAGGTATCCGGCCCCCACGTTGTCGAAGTTGACCTTGACTTTGGTCCAGTAGTACTGAGAGGTGTCATTGAGCGCCTCGCACTCCGACTTGTTGTTGATGAAGCCGTTATCGTAGATGTACCCCGTGCGGTTCACGCAGCGGCCGAACTTCCCGGCGAACAGGTTGACACCCATGATGCTGAAGATGAGCCAGAAGATGAGGCAGACCAGCAGCACATTCATGATGGAGGGAATCGCCCCGATCAGAGCGTTCACCACCACCTGCACCGACACAGACGTGTATTAAAATAGAAATGTTAGAACTGTACCTTAAAGAAAAACATAAAGCTTGAAGTCTGTTAGTGGTCAGTCTAACAATCAGAAGCCAGAATAAACTCCAGAGTGAGTGTGTTTGTGTTCTCACTAAACGGCTAACCCAGGGCTGAAGGGGCCAAAACTGCAGTTCCTTGAGTGTCCATTTGAGCCTGTCTCCAAAAGTGAGTCAATACCCATAGAGCCCAATGTTACAACTTAACAGCAGAAATAAAAAAAACTTAAAACGTTGGCACGATAACATTTTAGGTCTAATTTCTCTCTTCATCACAACAGAGCGGGCTGAATTTTTATACAAGTCACCTGTTTACATTATGGTAACTTTCTGTAGGGATTGCATTTTTTGTCCTCATGAAGCCAACCTCTAGTTGCCATTTGAGGAACTGCAGCTTTTTGCAATTTTAATTGCCCTCAACCATGCCACTCTCTTGACCCTTTGTTTCCAATTACAAGTGTTCTCATTGATTTATATTGGTTTTCTGATTGATTAAATTGTGTTTTTGTTGTTGCTTGTTTGCAATCTTGACGACATTGGAAATGAGGGAAACCTCCATTTCTTTTCGTAATTAAGCGAATGTAAAACAAATGACATTTGAAGTACAATGTACACCCTGTTCTTGCTTTAATAAGAAAAAAAAATAGGAATAAGTAAAATCAAATTGCGTATTAAAATGTCTTCTTTTCTTTTTGGACCATACATTGAATCTTGCCTAACTTTTTGAGGGTTAAATTCAGGTGAGATTGTTTTGGTTGTGATAAAAGTTTAAAGATGTCTTCATAGGCACAGAGATGATTGAAAAGTGTTTATGTACAATTATAAATAAGACCCAATGAGATTAGGCACTGAGCCATGCAATGAAACACAAGCGAGATTTATTTTAAACTAACATGTTGTGGAAAAAATCTCTTCTGCCTTTTTTCTGAAGGTTGGCTCTACCTGATGGCTTCATTACACACAAAGACCTTTCAAGTATTTCCCCCTGATACTCCCACATGAGCTGAATACAGAGAAGCAGTGTAATAACTTCAACTTTCAGAAACAGTTGAGCAGCAGCACGAGAGAGAAGATGCTTTTCTGTCGTTCTTCCCTCAGACTGAAAATGTGGAAGTATTTTCAAACTTTGTATGAATCAACGATTTCCTTCCTGTTGGTGCGCTGAGTCAGCTGATGTCAGTAAAACATTTAAAAGAACCCTCCTCGTTATACCCGCAATGCACTTCTACCACCCAGAATCCCCTGCTGAGTGAGCAGCGTGGTGCAAAGCGTGAAGCATTTTAAAATTGACATGAGCGCTAATCTTATTAGCCACACAAAGAACAGAGGAGAGGATCATGGGCGAGTGAGAGCTCTGAATTATTTTTTTTACCCAGCATGCAACGCAGGTACTGTACCTGATGTGAACCAGAGTCAGCATCCTGCACACCTCCCCTCAAGCATCAAATTAAAACTTTAACTATCTTAAACTTAACTTTAACCCTTGTTTTTTTTTTTTTTGCTGAGAGGAATCTGAAGTGATCGATGACAAAATGCTGATCGTCCAGTTTGATAAGAAATCAGCAGATTAGCTGTCAATAAATGAACTTAATAACTTTGAACTCATGTGTGAACAAGCTTCAGATCACAAGAGTAACTTTAATAATTAGTTTTAACTTGAGTGTTTAACAGATAATTATTTTTATTAACATGTTCAACTTTTGTTTTTGCAGTGAGAATAAAAATCTAAATGTCATTATTTCTTAAGTTTAGTTTTCATGTGATCATTTATGATTTGAGCTCTACATGTATGTAAGAGCCACAAAGGATTTTTTTTATTGATGCATGAAGTCTCTGCAGGACACTGACTCTTATAATACCTTTATAAAACAGCACCTTTCACACATACACAAACTCCTGAACATTTCCTGACAACATTTTCCATGCATGCTTGGAACACAAATGGCTGAACTCGTTCACTTTGACTTCCCCCCAGCAGCTTTAGTAAAAAGTTTGTGTTAAGTCGGGGTGAGTCGATGTGTGAATACACACTTACGTTGAGTTTTTCTGCTTTAAAGTCTTTACTGCTCGCCTCAGTCATCTGAATGGGGTTTTCTGCTGTTGTGTTTCTAATGGGGAAACATCTCTGTTCATGTTTGAGTGATCTTAACACACAAACAGGAGCCAGAACTCCTCACTCCTCCAAACAAACCAGTCAGAGTATTTCAAGATATGAGAGTGTGTCAGATACATCATTTTCTGCCCTGAGTAGCTCGTGTGAAAAGCATGTTTTTGGGAATTTCCGAGCCTGAATGTCCTGAAATAATTTTGAGGTGTATGTGTGAAAGTGGCTTAATACTGATAAACATTACAGAAGAGAATGGAGGGTAAAAGCTTCTTCACTTTGTAAAAAAGATCACATTCATGCAAAGTTTAAATCCACACAAACACTTCACAGTTTAACATCTGTAAGAGAAGACCTCAGAGGAGGAATAAATCAGATCAAAGACACGGACATGAAGCAATGAGATGAACCAATCAGAGAGCAGCAAACACTAAGGGGCGGGGAGATGAAGCAACAGGTGAGATAACACTGATGAAACAAAGAAGATGCATTTTAATATAAACACATCTGCACACATAAATATACATTATCAAAACAGAGACCGCTTGATTAATGTGTCTTTGCAAATAGACTTATTTTTGCATCATTATATCTATTTCATGTTCAATGTTTAGCAAAAGTTGATTTATTCTTTGTGTTATTAATGTTGTAATTAAGTTATGATGTGATTATGTTATGTACAGAATGTGTGCTGAACCATACTAACAGTGACAATGGGAAACAGGGGATCGCTTCAAACTGTGGACTGAAGACTTTTGTTTTAATCCTGTCTACTTAGTTCAGGAGGTATAAACCAAGCACTCCCCTGGAGACTGAATTAGGTGTCCAGGTGTGTTTATTGTGTGTGTGTGTGTGTGTGTGTGTGTGTGTGTGTGTGTGTATTAATACTGACTCTTACCCTCATGCCTTCAAATCTGGAGAGGGCTCTGAGGGGCCGCAGAGCCCGCAGCGTCCGCAGGGACTTGATGGCTGCAAAGTCTGAATAACCCAACGTGTTAGCCACCAAACTGACCAATGAGACCTGGAGGAGAGAGAAAGAGCGAGAGAGAGAGAGAGAAAGAGCGAGAGAGAGAGAGAGAAAGAGCGAGAGAGAGAGAGAGAGAGAGAGAGAGAGAGAGAGAGAGAGAGAGAGAGAGAGGGAAAAGATAGGATCCAAGGATAGAAAAAGATGGAGATAGAAGAGAGTGAAGGAGGATGAGAGAGAGAAGCAGGACAGTTAACTTCTATTCTAATAAAAGAGGAAGAGAGACCGAGGAGGGATCTGAAAACCAACCAATCAGAACTGTGGATTTATGCAGACGCAAACATGTAAGTTTAAATATCAGCGGACTGAAAACTCCTGCAGGAGAAGTCAAGAGAGAGAGGAGAAGACCTAATAAACAAAAGTTAGTGTTCAGAGGAGGTCAACTGCTGCACCTTTCACTCAGAGCTGTGAATGAAAACATGTTTGAGTGTCTCAGCGAAGTCTCGTCAGGACGGACTGTGGATGAAAAAAATCTGATATAGTTAACACTCAAAATGGAAATAAAGTAGATTCCCTCCTTGGTTCATACTGTGGAAGAAAGAGGGTCATTACTGTTAGTTTATTGAAACAGGAGGCTGATTGATCCACATGTAAAGCCAGTGCAGGTCAGTCTAAATGTCAGGAACGTTAAAATCACGTCTTCATATGGAGAAAAATTTCAGCTCATTTTAAACCTGGGCCCTTTTTTATGTATTATGGGGTCTGAATGAATTAGACGTACAAAAAGTTTTGGATTCCTCTTCAAACACACTGAAACAGGACACTTTTGTCTCAGGGCAAAACGAGTACGGTGCTTTTTTAAAACCTATAAACAGCCCTTACTTCGCTCTCTTTCAAAACTACCCTTCTCCTCCTAGAACACTGGGTTTGCTTGTCTTCTCCATCTTAAACATTTATTATTCTGGATCTAAACTAACCATTTAAATGACAAAATCAAGAATAACACAACCAGACTCAATTATTGAGGAAGCAATAGACCAGCACTTCCTGTGTTCTGAGTTAGAACTACAGATGTAGTCTGGTATGTTTGAAGGCGATGTAACAGCTGTTAAAAAATCATCTTCCTCTGGAACAAACAGCTCTATCTATGTAGGGATGCTTTCTGTAATGTTGTCAGACACTTAGAATAACAATGAAACATTTGCCCCAAAGGATTACATTGCTGCCATTACAGCCTGTTTCACTGCTGCAGGATGAGGTAATCTACAGAAACACAATGTAACTTAGGGCCCAGGTTTAACTTGACATGGATTTCCCTTTAAAGTTTTTGAAATGGTTAGTGATGCCTGAGGAAATGTAAGTTAGGGTTATCACTCTAAACAGTAAATCATCTGAGATACCAGATCTATGACATCATGAAACCAACACCGCGTCAAACCCAGAAACCACAGCACCTCTAGAAGCCTCTAAAGCCAGCTTAGCCCCACAACGAGAGTTTGATTTTTCACCACTGAGCAGCAGGTCTCAGATCAGTCGGTGGGTGGAGCTCAAGTTGAGTTCATCTTGTTCTTACCCTGATACCAGCGAAGCGGGACGCGGCCCGAAGAGGACGGAGAGCCCTGAGTGTCCTCAGCACCCGCATGGCGGTGATCTGTTCCACAGAGATGTACTGAGCCAGCAGACCCACCACTGAGATCTACAGGGTGTGTGTTACACAGGATCTGTTACATGACAGTTACTGAGTGCAGCTCACCATGAGCAGTGACTAAAATCAATCAAAATCTCATTAAAGTATCAAAAGTTAATGATGAACTTGACTGAATAACTAGTTTCTAGAATAACTCTTTCTGAAGAGTACTGCATTCAATTGAGAAAACAATCTGTTGTTCTTCTGAATTGATGAAATGTTTATTTCAGGAATGTGAGAAAAGGTTTTATGTTAAAGGCATCTAGATTTTTTTTAGCAAAAGTCTGATTGTCTTTTGGGTCACAAGGAAGCAAGATACACAGAATAAAACATGGACATAGTCTCAGAGACGTCACTCGTCTGTTACTGAAGAGGCGTTCTGAAGCCAAACAATGGTGGTCGCTTTTGGAAATGCTGACAAACCGAACTTTCAGTTAACCTAACAACAGGCAAAGAGGAGGTGCTGAGTCCTTCAACCTCCTGACAAACAGCTACAATGTATCCACCTTTCAGTCAACTCAGCCACGCCTCTAATTATCAAACTGTAGGAATAACTCGTAGACCGTTTCCTAACAGCAAGCAATCATTAGCCCTTCAATACAAAAGCACCAGATGGCGAGGGGAAACTGAAATTAACAGAGCAAAGAGGTAAATATTTAAAGGACGCAGTGTGGAGCGAGCATCCGATGCTGCTCGATGTGACGAGATATCTAAAGCTTGCGCGCTGTTAGGACACGGTGTTAGGCCAAATACAATCAAAACAAACATACAAAAGTTTTAAACAATGGACCTCTCATGCAGTGTGTGCAAAAAAAAACTATTCAGACCAAAACTGCTTTTTGAACAAGACTGGAAACATGTTTGTTTCTGCTGGAAAAAATGACATTTTAAAAAGAGTTTTAATTGAACTTCCAGAGCTTTCACAGCCTGCATTAAGCAGACACTCGAGGAACTGCAGTTTAGTTTGCACTTCTACACAGACTTAACTTTTTAACACTGAAGGTTGCTGCTAGCCAGCCAGAATGTATTTCAGATACATCATCATACAATCCTGAAGCATATCTTATCTGCTCAGCTGATTCTAGAAACACTAAAACTCCCATGAGAACAGACGCACATCACCATGTACAGTATGTACCGTAAAGACACTAGTGTCTCAAAGTGTCTCAAACCCAAAGCAAAATAAAACTGGATCAAACTGAGTAATTGGGGCATTTTGCTTCCTTAAGTGACCTAAATGAGAGCTCCTGTTGGGATTTGAGGTACCAGTATTTCATTAGATTTAGTTTTTCTCAAGTGAATGCAACATGCTCCAGGAGCTGTCAGTCAAGAGCCTGTAGAAAAAAGAACAGATTTAACCTTCTAATGTACACAATGATGGTTGCAATTAAGTAAACAGGATGTCCATTATCAAACACAGAGACTATATTCAGTTTGGTAGAGATGCTCGAAATAAATGCAAAAAAATAAATAGATTATTTGTATCAACAAAATAGTTCTGTTGAACATTATTCTACAGTATATTATATTTACCAAGACAACAGGCAAAAACGCAACAAAAACTTAAGTTCAAACAGTAAAGCATTAGAAAAAATATCGGTATTAAGAGAGCTATACCTGTCAATCACAGGTAGCACCTCCCCCCCAAAGCATACTCTGCTTTCTGGTCTATTTGACTCTAAATGGGACCATAATCTACTGAATGAAAATCCCGTTGTGTTGAAGAAGAGATTGAGACCATGAACTCTTAGGGAAAATGTTTAACGAGGGAGTAAATCCACTGAGAACTAGGATTAATTTATCATCAACTTCTACAGAGTTGTACTTCTATTCGCCTCCTGCTGGCCATTAGAAAGAATGCAGATTTAAAGCACTGTTAAAAGCAAGTCAGCTTTTTTCTGTGTTTTTATGCCCTCTAGTGGCAAACAGCAAAAAAAGTAGAGCTTTAAGTAAAGGATGAGTGTTTATTTCATCACTTTCTGTCTCTATCAGTGACACTGTACTGTTTTTTTTGTCTCCGATTATGATAAAACCTCTGTGACTCAACTCGTCTCTTTTTCTCTCTTCAGGCCATAACCGTCAGAATAAAAAAAACGTCACAACACGCAGAGAAATTTATGAAGACAGCAGAGTGGAAATCAGCCAGAGAGAGAGTGAGAGGGGTGGGGGGTGGGCAGTTTCCGTCTCAATGCATGCATATTTATGGTGTGCATCACAAACCGTGTGTGTCACTCTTCCTCTGAATAATCTTGCCCGGGAGAGTGAAAAAGAGAGCGAGAGCGTCCAAATATACACATCTTTGTCTGTGTGTGTGTGTGTGTGTGTGTGTGTGTGTGTGTGTGTGTATGTGTGCAAAGGTTAAAAAGCCACTGCTGAGCCTTTGGCCCAGGGCTGTTTGGACTTTTTCTCTCTTTGTCTCTTCATGTCTCTCACTCCTCTAACACATACATTCCCAGCCGACATTTTCTTGAAAATCCCTCGCTTAGCTGTTTAGGGTCACTTGTAGTAGCAACCACAACCCATCAGCCGTCCACACAAACGTTTGTGTGTTATCCAATTTTTACACCTCACCTCTCTCTAGAAGGAAGAGTATGTGTGCATGTTTGTGTTGTTTCAACACAAAGTCACACCGCCAAATCTAGGTCTAGCATGTATACTACAGCGTTATATTGTGGATCGGTGTGCAGGGCAGTTGTTGTCTGAACATTGTTGTCTGAATGTGGAACTTTTAAACAAAATAAAAAATAATTTTTCAGTGTTTTCATGTAAACGTGGGCGCTAGTTCAAGTCAAGTCATAAGTCGTGACAATCAGGACTCGATGGGGCCTGTACTTGTTAGTTTATGTGAACTTTCCCAGCAACCTCTTCTGATAATATCATGTGCTCTAATCATCATCTTCATCACTTTGGCACCATTCGTAGGATTAAATCACCTGCGTCATCATAATCACCACCAGATGTCACTATTGTTGTCATTATCTCTGTGAAATCAGCCAACATCTCCGTTTACACCTTGATAACTTCAGCACACGCATCAGCTTCATCATCGTCAATAATTCCATAAGTTCATCAAAAGTGTTACCATCACCACTTCAGGCAAACAGAAACACAATAATAACAGCCATTAAACAGATCGATGAACCAACAAATCAGCAGATCGATTACTTACATCAACGATGAGGAAGTCGAGCCAGCACCAGTAGTTGGTGAAGTACTTCTTGAAGCCGTATGCGATCCACTTGAGCAACATCTCCAGGATGAAGATATAGGTGAAGATCTTGTCTGCGTACTCCAGCACCACCTTCACCACCTTCCTCTGCTCGATGTAGATGTCCTCAAAGGCCTGGCGGGGGCAGCAGAGAGGGAGAAGGTTATATTCTGGAGCCATCTAGTGGCAGTTGTACATCACTGACATTTACAGTTTTGCATATACTGTAATATGAAATGAGCAAATCTGTTGAATTCTAGTCTTAGAAATTATCATTCTTAGTTGGCATTCATAGTATGAAATTTGGGACAGGCTGTAATTTGTTCTGTTCCGCCACACCCGAGGCCATTATTATAGCCCCTCTTTTTATTGGTCATCGTCTAGTATTTTTGGAAATACGTTAGCTGTGATCTGAAGAGGTTGAATAAGTTCAGTTGAGTTATTTCAAGACGATATTGCTGTTTGAGATTTTAGGGCCCCCTGCTGGAAACACCCCTGCTTGCATCTTTAAAACCAATTGGGATTGGTGCTTCGTAACCTCTTTTCTTTGGACAAATATTAAAAAGCAAAGCTCATTAATCAAACTATAATATAGTGAAGTAGAGTAAACCAAAAAAACAAAACTGAACGGCTAACAAAAGTGAAGTGACTGTTGTGAAGACAACCAAACTGAGCTAACTTCAGTAATATAAGTCAGAGTAAATGTAAAAATCGAAAGTAAAGAACAGGAACTAGATGTGTGTGTGTGTGTGTGTGTGTGTGTGTGTGTGTGTGTGTGTGTGTGTGTGTGTGTGTGTGTGTTTGTCTGACCAGCGCTCCAGAGCTGAGCAGGATCATGAAGATGATGAACGACTCGAACCAGCTGTGCTCTACAATCTGGTAGCAGGTCTTCCTCGTCCTCCACCAGAACTGACCGAGACCTGCTGACGTGTCGAAATCGCAGCACTGAAACCTGGCCACGCACACTGTGGGCGAGAGACAGGGACAGCAAAACACAAACAGAGACATTACATGAGTTCAGAGCTGAAAGGGAAACAACACGGACAAAAAATATCTTAACTTATCATTTTTTACAAAACACTGCCGGGCAACAAGAATCTCTTATTAATAGAATCTTAAGTTTAATATCAGTACTGAAGCAAAAGAAGTGAACCAGGATTTATTGTAAATAACTAAACAAGACGAACCAGTGTGTGTGTCTGAACCACTGCACACACACAAACATGCACGCACAAACACTGATGTCAGATGTCTGCTTTGTTTGCCGCACACAGATGACCTGAAGCATTAAAAGCTCTATCTATGGTTATTGTGTGCGTGTGTGTGCGTGTGTGTGTGTGTGCGTGTGTGTGTGTGTGTGTGTGCGTGTGTGTGTGTGCTCCTCTTGATGTGTGTGCTTGTATGTGTATGTGTTTAGAGGCATGTTTTCTTGCGTAATCTCAAACTCTTTGATGGATGTTAAGATTCTGCCTGCCTACAAGGAACCCCCAAGTGTGAGTGAGAGTGTGTGTGTGTACGTGTGTGTGTGCGTGTGCGTGTGCGTGTGCGTGTGTGTGTGTGTGTGTGTGTGTGTGTGTGTGTGTGTGTGTGTGTGTGTGTGTAAAAGTGTGTTTCTTCATGTAATAGATTTATGATGATAGAAAAGGGTGTAAGGAAGAATGCGCGTCGTCAGACTGCTCTTTGGCAGCACCTCCGCCATAGTGAAAGCAGTGAGTAGGCTATTTTATTCTTCTTTTCTCTAGTCCTTGACTAAAACAGCTTAATACGTAAGGGGCTGGTCATCCTGTCCGTGTAAACATGATGTAAAAAAAAAACTCTGACAACAACACAGCCAGCGGAACTCGGGCTTCTCACTCAGTCATACCTCAGAGAGATATTTACAGAGGATACATTTGATTTCTTCTATATTGATTTGTAAAATGACGCACATTCTTGCTTAAATTAAAACCAATATTTAATTTCTGAAGTTTCTGAAGAGGACAAAACTATATTTAACTTGAACTTATTAAAATTGTCCTTTATGTTTCTGATAATTTAACAATATCTCACCTCTGTTTGAAATATGCTGCCTCTCCTTAAAACGTAATACTTTTATTAATAATTCCACATCAGTTTTTATTAGATTTATAAGGTGTGGATCAGAAATTTGAACGAAAACAGTAAAGGGACAGTTTTTTTGAATTATTTTTAAGAAGTGTACTGGTTAAATATCTTCATTACAGTCCTGCATGTCGCTTTAATTTCTCAAAAACAAACATGTTGAAATCTCTCTCTCTCCTGCACTACATTGTCCTCTGAGTGAGTGCTGATAAGGAGAGGATCAGATTCCCCGTCGCTCATCGTTATCAGCCAGTCAGCTCTTAAAGCTCGTCCCTAACGTTTCTGAATTCAATCATTGTGTCTGCAGGGGCGACCGGGACGACGGACCACAACCTGACGTCCGCTCAGGATCAAGAACTTCAGCAGAGTGATCGCTGGAGCGAGTGATGGTGACGTGCCCTCCAGCAAGGCATGATGGTCGCTCAGAAGCTGACAGAGAAGGACGGCCCAGACAAAGACGGGAGGAATCGAGTGTGGGCATGCAGGGAGAGATATCAGCGTCCAGTTTGACATCGCACAGGGTCGACTTGTTGCTGATAAAACACTGATACAATTCACCTCAGATGTTTTCTCAAGACTTGTTTTGGATATTTAGAGAAGTTTGTCTCCACCGTTCAGACACTAAATAAAACCTTAACTGCTCACAATCGTACTTTGAGAGCCTGTAGTATGCTCACAAGACACAGTCAGAAATATTGTCAATAAAACTCTTCTCCCTACTTGTTTCTTTATGTTCTCTCACATATAAAGGGAGAGATGTGTCGGAGAAGGCAGTTATAGTGTTCTTGTTTGTTCACCTCATCAGTGTTTTAAGGAGAAAAAAAACACCAACGTGACAATAATGAACAGAGTAGATGGTCTTGTTTTGGTTTTGTGGGTCATGAAAAGATGTTTCAGTATCAATAAGTTGTTTTTTTATGACTAGGGAAAGACTCCTCACAGCTAGTTTAAGATTTCTAACTTTCAGTGAACTCTCACATTGATTTATATGCTCGGCCACAGAGGGTATTATTCCATATGATTTTTTAAATGTTAAATAAGGCAGATATGAGTTAATAATTAGACTGTGGGAAGCTGAATCATATTCAGGGTAACTTTGTGCTGCTGACGTCTCAGTGAGTTTCCTCTGACAGGCAGGAAAAGAGCGAGCTCTGTCTGAGCTGCTCTTCACTCGGCTGATTGCAGCGTCCGCCTGCTTCTGTAATTAGAGCTTTGATTACCCCGGCTTTCTGTTTCCATGGTTACTAATAGGCTTTTCCCCGGTACGCAGGTTGAGTAATCCAATGAAAACAAGCGAGAGGTAATCCGACACTCAATCAGCCCACTTGGCAGAGTTATTATCAAAGTGCGTGTTTGTGTGTGTGTGTGTATGTGAGGAAACCCCCGGTGCCTGTACTGACGGCGGCTTTAATAAACACTTTTGCTGCAATAAACTGGTATTGAACGCCTCATTACATCACCTGTTGGAGGAGACGACGCCTCCTTCAGTGGCGCTTGCTCTCGGCTGTGAGCAGCATTGATCTGTTATTGATCAGTACTCAGAAGTGCTGTTGAATGATCCCCCGCCAGGTGATTGCATTTAGTGACCTCTAAATGAGCCATTCTCTACACACAGAATATCATGTAAACACACACATTTGTTCTGAACTAAACTTAAAAGAAAAACATCGTGGCAGCAGTTATCCAGATTCTGTAACATATTTCAAAGATGCTGTACACGTATGCATATGTTAACAGCACAGCCTGTACAAAGCCACAAATACCAACTCCAATGCATGTGCTGCCAGAATGAAAAAGAAACCCAAATGCAGTGAGTAGTGGTGTTTTAGAGTTTCAAGGTGAGTGATTGAGGGAGTCACTGAGGATCCTGCTCGAGGACACTGCAGCAGCAAACTCCGTCTGCTGCAGAAGTCACACCTGAGACATTTGATACAAGACAAGTCTCAGCAGGAGACGCTGCTGCTGCTTCTGCAGGCGTAACATGGCACATTGTGAGGCAGAAACACACACGCACACACATGCACACACACACACACACACATGCACACGCACACACAAACAAACACACACTCCTGATTCCCTCTTAATCGCGTGACGTGCAGCTTCACAACATTAACCAATGAGTTGGCATTTAGAGGACCAATGGGGCAGCTAATGTAACGCCGGCTGTCAGCACAGATGTGTGTGTGTTTAGTGTGTGTGTGTGTGTGTGTGTGTGTGTGTGACTTAAATGTTGAAATTTTGAGCACTGAAAATTGTGCATGTGAGGTAATATAAATATATTTTTTGCATGAAGTTCAACACAGTAGACCACAACCTGCTGATTCAAGCCTTACATCACACTGGCTTATCTCAACATGCAGCTGCCTGGTTTGCCAACTATCTATCCAACAGAACACAATGTGTTCAGGTGACTGGAACTACCTCTTCCTTTCTGGACATTACTAAAGGGGTGCCCCAAGGTTCAGTGCTGGGACCTATTTTATTTTCAATCTATATAAACAATCTCTGTAATAACTTGTCAAATGCAATGTATCATTTTTATGCAGACGACACCATTATTTATTGCTGTTCAACCTCACTCACCCAGGCTTTTGAGTTTTTACAAACTGGTTTTAATGTTATCCAGTCTCATTTATATGATCTTAAGTTGGTTTTAAACACAGATAAAACCAAGCTCATGGTTTCCCCTCATACAAAGGTGCTACCACAGAACATTACAAATATTGTAACATCTAAAGGAAAACCTATAGAGCAAGTTTTAAACTACAAGTACTTGGGTTTTATCCTAGATCAGGAGCTTTCATTTAAAGCTCATATCAATAATCTGGTCACTAAACTTCTCATGAAGCTTGGCTTCTTTTTTAGAAATAGAACCTGCTTCTCTCTCAGGGTCAGAAAGAAATTAGTGACAGCGACCTTCTTGCCTATTCTTGATTATGGGGATGTGCTTTTTTTGAGTGCGTCATCCAAATGTCTCAAGTCCTTGGACACTATTTTTTATTCGGCACTGAGATTTGTCACTGGCTGTAGTCGTCTCACCCACCATTGTGAATTGTATTTCAAATCGAACTTGCCTTCTTTGAGTGCACGCACATTGGCTGACCCTAATTTATAAGGCTCTTTCAGGCTTGATTCCTTTATATTTGTGTGCTTTATTGTGGAGGACAAGCAGTCGCTATGCCTTGCGTTCTTGTACTACACTTGTTCTATCTGTTCCTTGGGTAAGGACTGAATTAGGAAAAAGAGCTTTCAGCTTTGCTGCCCCCTCGGCATAGAATACTCTACAGACTGAATTAAAACTACCTGAACTTATTCCACTTGGAGCTTTCCGTTCTATCATGAGGGACAGACAGTGTGAGACCATTGAACAGTGCCTGTGGTTTTTAAATCTTAAATTGTTGTTTTATTGTTGTGTCACAGCTCCCACACTTTCTTTTTATTGAAAACACTATGTTTTTAAGCTGTACTGTCACTTAATTGTAACTGTTCTTTTGACATGTGCTGCTGACCTCTTGGCCAGGTCACCCTTGTGAAAGAGATCCTGATCTCAATGGGTTCTTATCTGGTTAAATAAAGGTTAATAATAATTAAAAAACAATATAGACATACTGCATCTGTACAGAAATCTGTGCATTCTTTTCAGCGTCCAGCAGGGGACCAATCCACTGTATGACTGTACAGAAGTCTAAAGTGTTCCTACTTCTTAGCTGATTTATTCTCTTAGGCTACATTTTCTCAATTCATTTTTGGTCTCAATCTCTGGTTTTGGGTCTTTTTCAATTGGAAAATGTTTTGTGTAAACTTCTGCATATTAAACAGAATAATAAAGTTATCAGGCCCTGCTTCAAATATGTCCAGGATTCATTTCTGCAGGATCCACACAAATATGACAGAAAAAGACATTTTTATCTGGATCTTAATTAACACAAAATAAGAGAATTTTCTAAATATTCCTCTAAAGTCAGGGTCAAGTATATTTTGAGCCCCTTCTTCTGGGCTGCATTGTTAATTATATCCTCGGGTCTAAAAGAACCATTGTCTGCTCTGACTGTATCACCTACATAAAGCACTGTTGACCTTCATTCATCTGAAGAGTTTCTTTACGCTGCAGCTCCAACTCGTTAGTGCAGCTCGCTAAGGTTTCCCGTCCGCCCGACCTTTCTTCCTGTGTGATGAATAATTAGCGGCGGGGGAGCGTCGCCATTCAGGCCGACACACACACTCTGTCTTAGTGACAGCCAGAGAGAGCAGCAGGGAGGCACGCTGCTGTTTGTGCTTTGTAATCACAGCATGAAGGGACACACACACACACACACGTGCACACACATGGAGACACATAGAGTCACAGAGACACAATCCTTCACGGACGAAACAGCAGCTTTATGTGGAACAAAAACTATGCATGCAGATAAATCTACAAACTTCAGAAAATGCACACACATACGTAAGTAAAAAATGCACATAGTTAGTATATTGCTAACACAACCTTTTTCTCTTGATTTTCCTCATATTGTTGCTCTATTTGACTATTTTATATAGAAAAAACTACCAACTTCAACATTTAAGATCTGCATGAACATAGAAAGATTTCTGAAGTTGCCAGAACAATGAACATGAGAGTTAAACTTTTTTTCCAGAAACAGGAAAAATCTGATGGTAAATGGAGTTGAGCTTTATAGCACTTTTCTAATCTTCTGACTATTCAAGGGGATTTCACACCGCAGGTCACACCAACCTATTCACACACTGATGCCAAGGGTTGCTATGTAACCCTCAGAAGTAACTAATCCCATCCACACAGTGGGAGAAACATGAGGTTTAGTGTGTTGCCCAAGGACACGTGGCTGCAGGAGCTGGGGATTGAACCTTCAACCTTCTAGTTGAGAGATGACCGACTCTACTGACAGAGCCACAGCGGCCCCAACCAAAGAAGTGTGATGTGCAGTTCCCTTGTAAATCAAATATTCAAACTTTTTAAACGCGACACATATATGGTGAAAACCAGTTTTTGTTTTATTTCTAGATCTTTCTTACTCTGTCTCATTTGTGTCTCACATTGATAGATTACACTTGATGACAGTGCTATGAATCCCAAATAAAGATATTTCTACTGTAGATGCAGATTTATAGAAAGGTCTGACTTCAAGCTTTATCCGGTTTGTCTGCAAGACTACAAGCAAACAACCTTTAAAATGCTTGTTTTTTTAATGGATTTAGTTGGACAGTTTCTGATGTATGAATGACACGCAGATTTGGTTTATTTGCATCTAATGATATCTCGGGATGGACTTCGACTTGCTTTGTGAAGACATTGCTTCGCTGTGGAGAGCACACAATGATGCGTGTAAACGCGCGGGCCTGGAGACAGCTTCAACGCAGACTGGATGCCTGAACATGACAGGTAATCAACAAACGCAACACTGCCATCAATTAAGCTGCTCTTAACTTTATCTACTCCTCTACAACTACCACTGTTTTACTACAACTTCCAAGAGACCGTTCTGTGTCTCTGGAAACACATCCGCACACAGCTGGTGTCTGCCTGCTGTTGTTAGTCAATTTTCTGGCCTACTTCTGCAGCAGCTGGCCGACTGGCAGGAACCTCGGCTCCCACACACACATGATCGCACACAGTGACATGGAGCTGTGTCAGCATACTGGTGCTACTGGTCCAGAGAGAGGGGTCTGTGAGCTGAGTCAGGAGGGAAGCGAGCGGCAACAGCAGCGGTAACAGCAGCAGCACGCAGGACAAAAAAAATCTGTTCTTTGTGCCCAAACTGTGGTTCGAGCAGCAAGGTCAAAGTGGAAAACCATCGACTCAACTTTGATTGTCAATGACTAGTCTGGCTCTTCCATTATAGCCTTCTCCTTTAATTCATGCTTTCAGTTTCACATTGTCTTGCCTTATTGTGCTTCGTCCCCCTTTCTGCGCCTTGACTTCTATTTTTTTCTGACATCTTGTTTGTGTTTCCTGCCCTACTCTAACTCCTCATATACAGTATCTCTCTTCCTATCCCAGACCTGCTGATGACTTAACTGTGGAGCACAGGACGAGTTTTGTTCATGTTTCATCCCTCCACTGTCGCTGCTCCAGAAGTCGATCTGAGTCCAGCTGGTGACAAACGTCTGCCTGCTGCGAAGGACTCTGCTGAATCAGGGAGAAGCGGGCGGCGTGTTGGGACAGTTGCGATGGACGCATCAATCTTCTAAATGAATCAAAGCTAATTTAACATCTGCCGTTTGGCAGCCGCATTCACTCAGTGCACCTCAGAAAACACACCTAGTTCAGGATGTAAAGATAAAATGACTTGAAAATGTATGCAGCCCGTTTATCTGTCCGTTTGTGTTCTGATAGGAAAATGTTTTATTGTTACCTTAATTTGTTATAACTTCATGTTAACACTGGTATTTCCCTTATTTTAATGATCAGGTCTGTGTCTTGGGGAGAGAAATCCAGGTGAAAATCTGTATAGGGTCTGAGTGTATTCAAGTTAAAGTTGGTTTAAAATACATGTGCATCTGTATGTGTGCTCGTCCTCCTTGGAGTCTTACTGGTGTCGTCATTGCAGCTGGGGATGCTTTTTCTGTGTTTGTTCTTTGGAGTGGGTTTTCCACCTGGCTGGCCTAATTCTGTCCCAGGATTTTTTTCGTTTTACCTCAAGTTACCTCTGAAAGTCATATGGGCAATAACAATGGAAAACATGTTACAAATAGTTTAAAAGAACACCTCCTTCTCACTGAACTGCGAAGTAAGCATTCTCTTCTTACGCAAACATACAAATCAGTTCCTTCTCTCTCTGGATCACCTCTTATTTTTCTCTGTAAAATGGCTATGCTGTACTGTGATGGGTCTAAAATAATTTCTGTGCACCAGGGAAGAAGTCATGAGTCAAAAAGAAAACAAAGTGTTTGCATTTCACCTGGGCCTAGTCAGAACGAACACATAAATCTCTTTATGAAAGTATTGGGGCAAGAGGGTGGTGGGATTGGCTCATGAAACCATAATGTTACTCAACCTGTTCAGCTACTGTTAAACTGAGAAAAACATGGACAACTAAATTCCATCATCACAAAAGTAATTACTAGCAGATTAATAGACATGTTAATTGAAGATTGATCCGAAGGCAACTGCACTTGGATGACGATCTTAGAGATGTTCCACCTCTCCTCTGAAAGGCTTCTTCGGTTACAAACTAACTGTTGGATGGAGCTAGAAGTAAAAAGCCTTTGTGGATCATTAGCATGCTAATGATCAAGGATGGTCACAGGGGAGTTGTTAGCTGAGTCGCTGACATAGCTTTGCCTAAAGTCGTTAACAACCCCGGCATGTGAGCCAAGGTGGGAATGGAACTTCACCTCTTTTGAAAGCGAATTTAAATATCATTGTAGGTTGGTGATAGATGGTGTCTCAGACCACCACCTCTGTAAGGGATGCTTTCTCAACCTTGTTATAGATGACTTCTTCAACACCCGTTTCAAACCAATGGTCTTCCCTTGCCAGGATGTGCACATCCTGCATTTATTGCAGCTAACAACTCCCATGTGACCTTCCTTAATCATTAGCATGCTAACAATCCACAGAGGCTTATATTTCTAGTGCCGTCATCAAGCTTTGATTTATGCAACAAAAAGAAAACAAATGGGCAACTTATTGTTGACTGATTGTCATGAACAAATAACTTGCTAGTTAGAGAAATAAAATAATTTAAAGAAATCACGAGACTTGTTTTCCAGTAGTACTCCTCTTCTTTGGATCTGCTCATACTTACACCTGTATTACGCTGGATGAACTTTACAACTTTCTAGCACAGTTTTTGACAAGTTTATTTGAGCAAACTTCAAACAAGCAGTGCTGTAGCTGTTGGGCGATACGTACATGTACAGCTTCATGTCATCTGCATAGCGACTAATAAAAATGTTGGTTTTCGACATAATAAGATAATACGTCACAGGTCATATCAGCTCTCCTGGGATTTTGTTGGCTGTTGGTAAGCAAATAGTGTTCCCCAAGCCTTTTCTCCCCTACAGTATGTCTCTGTATCACGGTCATGTTAGCTGTGCAAATTTGGATCTAAGACAAATCTCTGTGCACCAGGGAGAAAGCGGCTGAGTCAGGAAACAAACAAGGTGTTTGCATTTCACCTGGGTTAGTCATGACAATATCATAAATCTCATTATGAAAGTATTAGGTCAAGAAAGTGGTAGAATCAGCACATGGTTAGTGGAACTTGTGAAATAGAATGGTTACAATATCTTAAAGACCCTGATTTCAACGTCTATAGCGACTTAACTTATCGTCAAAAGAGAGGTCGTGAATTAGTGTCGGTATTTGATGAGTCTCAATGTTAAATGCTCAACTTTGATGTATTACAGACTGTTTCATGTGGGGAGCTGTTGGTTAAGATGCAATTTCATGTAACTTGTTTGTATCGGGGGGCTTATGAAGCTGTGTCTTAAACATAAAACCTCAAAAATCCATCTTTGTATAAAATGTAAGATATATATCTAAATTAATGGAAATGCCTCTTCCAAGGCCCCAACATTTATGGTTCTTCCAGACCCACTCAACATTGGTCAAGAGTTGTGCAAACTGCACTGCTGCCGTGAGTTTGTGTGTGCGTCTGTGTCCTTACTTAGGAAGATTGCGATGAAGATTGGCCCGCACACAAAATTGTCACCTGAAGAAGACCTCTGATCAAAACGTTGTGATTGTGATGAATTCAAACTTTTTGTGGTATCTAAGCAAATGTGCGGGCCTAACTTCTTCGTCAGTCTGCTGTTTTTGCGCTGCCCTGGTGATGTGCTTATAACTACTTCCTTTTTCTGTGTGCTCGCTTACCATCAGGAAAGCAGTTTTCGGGGTCCATTGCCTCTTCAGCCATCTCTGAGTACTCATCCTCTTCCTCCCCAGGCTTTCTCAGGTCCACAGTGCTGCCCTCTGATAGGCTGATATCGTCTTTCTGCTGAACAAAAGAGCAGGAAACAGCCAATAAGAACCATCACCCTGCATTGACTGATTAAAGGCGTCCAATTTATCCAAGGAGAAGTGATAAAAAACACTTCCAAGAATCTTTAACTAAACGGATCTAGAAACCCCCCAACAGCTTATCCTCTTGAACCCATTGGTCTAAACATTCTACCCTCTATGTTATGAAATCAAGATGTTTATTTAATCCTACTTGATGGATAGGTTTCATTTCACATTTTCCTTTTTGTGTATCCCTCCAAAAAATATCAAAACCAACAATCTGTTAGTCGAGGTCACTTATGCTCTACTTCCAATATGTATACAAATAAGGACTGATCCTTCTCTCCATACTCTGCGTTAATTTCATACGTATTTCTGCACGTTTTCCAGAAGCCTACAGACATGGAGCAAATGTTACAATACAACCAGAAATCGTGGGGAAGTGTTGAGCATTGTAGCCAACAGTTCAAGCCAGACCAACTAAACACATAAAGGAGAATACTTTGGAAAATGGTGGAATTTTTGAGCAAAGTTTGTTTTGTAGTGGATGCATTTTTTATCATGTATGCCAAGTTAGTGACGGTTTTATCCTTTAAAACACACAAATATATTTTCATTTGTAAAGGAAACATAAATGAACCCAATGCGGACATGTATCTGTACATTTTATTTACTCTGTTTTCCCATGAAAACAATTAATTTCTGAGTGTTTTTCTCCAAATCTCGACTTTTTGTCATCTTTGAGTCTTAATAATTCTGATTCTGTAGCTTCTGACTCTGTAACTTCAGACATATTACACAAGGGGTTTTTTCTCAAATAAACAGAAACAAATGTGATAACTAGAAATAAATAGAGATTTAATATGTAGTCTCACAGGATAATCTTAAAAATTATCAACTATTTAGGCCACCGATATGTCTTAATACTTACTGGAAAATAATTGAGTTGATACATACGTTTAGAAAATGTATGGTTAAAGGCTTTATATACTTTATATTTCTTTTTGATCCAGCAGATGTCACCCTTGAGCACCAGCATGAAACCAAAACAACTCACGCTGCATTGTTGTGTTAGCATGCTAGCGATCTTTATTATGCTGGTATCTTCGCACTGCATGTAAATATACAATCACATATTAAGCCTTTAAGGATAAAGTTATAAATTACAATTGTTTTAGAGTGTAGTAACAGTTTCAGCTCACGTGTAGCTCCAGGTATGGGGTGAATAAAGTGTGTTTGTGTGATCATCAGCATCATTTTGTGTCAGTCAGGGCTGAATGAGTCAGATTGATGTTACATAACCAGCAGGAATTCTGGCTGACAAAACAGCGAGGCTTCACCTTCAAACCTCCCTCCCACAGCCAGGAAATCTGCCGTCTGTTCACTTTGACTCGGAGATCTGGACAAAACTACACGTCAGGAAATCCCCCCTCATTCCCCCCAGCCTAGCAGACTTCAAACATCCCTGTTTGCTAAGCATCATGGGAGTTTAACTTTACAAAGGGACGGGGGAGATGGAGGGATGGGAGGTAGGTTTTTCTGCTGAGAGCTGTGGAGGAAAATTTGGCAAGTTTTGTTAAATGTCTCGACAAAGGCACAGCAGGGGTGAGTGTGTGAGTGTGTGTTTGTATGTGTGTGTGTGCAAGCGTGTGTGCATGCATGTGTGTGTGTGTGTGTGTGTGTGTGAGTGTGTGGCACTGAACAAGTGTGAGTGCGTGGACAGGTGAACTAACTACCTGAGTCAACAGCTAACTCATGAATACACTCAGACTCTGGGAACAGAGAGCGGCCGCCATGACGAATGCCAGCCTTGGACACTATAACACACACACACACACGCAAAGGTGAAGCCAATGGACATGAATACACACCTAATCTCTGACACACTTGCACGTGAAAAAGGATCCACACAAAATCTGGCTAATGTCACACTGACACTCACACACACACACACACACACACACACACACACACACACACACACACACACACACACACACAGACACACACACACACACACATAAAAACACACACAGCAGCCTTGGACAGAAACCTCCTGACAGCTGACGTCCATAATGAGGAGTTTAAATGTATTTCTATTCACACTCTACTAAACAGGTTTTTGTCCTTTTTAGTAATAAATCACATGTAATCAGATTACTTTGCTCACACAATTAATTAATTTTTAATAAGTTTTATCACTTTTTTTTAACATTATTTCTATCAGAAGGAATTATTATGAAGAATTTAGACATCACTCGAGTAACAGTTCAGCCGCAACAAGGGGGAAAAACCCACGATGAAATTGGGAAAATGTACCTCAAAACTACCAAAATTATCTGCAATCAGGCATGTAACTTGCCATTTAATTAAAACAATTAAGTAAAAAGAATTACAATCAGAGGAGCCACAGGAATCTTGAATTTATAAAGCAGCATCCTGCAGTGTTGGAAAATGAAGCCAATTCAGTCAATTCAAGTGCAAAAAAAAAGAAGAAATCTGCAGTTCCTTAAGTGTCCACTTGAGGCTGTCTCAAAAAGCAGAATAGTCCCCATTAGGTCCCATAAGGAAGTGTCTATTTTTACAGCAGAAATAAACACGTGTACATCCTGGTTTAAAAAGAGAATTTAATGCAGATTTTTTACATTCTAGTTGAAAAATTTTAGAAATTTGGTTCGCAATTTCTCATGGTGGTTTATTCTGAGGCGAGACAAGTTGAGAAAAATTGTCTTAAAGTATGACTACATCTCAAAAATAACTGAATACTTCCTCTTGTTCCTCAGGCTGGTCTTCTTATATCCCCCTTCAAAACCACATATAGGCTAACCGGAGCCAAGAGTTTTGTTCTTAGATTTGTTGAATGTGACCTGACACTCCGTCCTATGGAAATGATGTAGGTAGTGCTCTGGCAATTATTATTTTTTTCATTATAGATCATTAACAACAGGATGATACAAACAACTATCTCCTGCAGTCGCCTGTTTATCCCTCCTCTGTGTAAGTGTGTTCTTTGGATACTTAATACATTATTAAAGACGATCAGAGTGAAGAACTCACTTACACTCTTAATGGAGCTGTAAATTCCTTTAATCCACTTTCACTCTGCTTTTGGCTCCTTGTTCCTTCTCCCTCCAAACAGACAGACTGAGTGAACAGCTGAAGCTAAACACTGACAGTGTAAACTGCAGCGTACATTCACTTGTTTGTCTCGGGTACATCAGTCTGCAGCCGCTCGGTGACAGCACACATTTCATTCACTCATTGTTAAAGTGAAGCATGTAACATTGTTTGTCTTCACTAGGCGGGAGGAATGGCATGTTCGCTTCTAACGAGGACCAACTCGGCACGCTTTGTCTCTGCAGACGGACGTTTCGTGCCAACAAAAGCAGAATCAAGACATATTTTATCTTTAACACAGACAGAAGATAGAAGGCAGAGGAAAGAAAATGAAACAAGACAGAAAACTACAGAGATGGATAAATGCAGATATGCAGAGTTGCCCAGAATGAGCACAAACTCTAAACCAGATTACATTAAATAGGCAAAGATGTACTTTTATTATACTTGATTATATTTTTTTAGCAGGTCTATGTCATGACTTTCATGCTGAACTTTAACAACACAGCATTCATACCAACACTTGCTATCTTGCTCGTAAAAATGTTATAGAGTCCTAACATAGTCTTCCAAATAGAAAGTTATGCAGAACTTATTGCACATGTTGCAGAACTATTGGTCAGTTATTTATTTATTTAAAACCTTACATTATGATTAGCATTACATTTTGAGGTCCTTTATTTGCAGCAAGACGTTCTTCTATTTTACCAACTTTCTTATTCAGCAATTTGCCGGTCTGTCAAATAACACAGCAGAGTCCACCGCACAGACTGTGGCTCTAAAGATCACCTGTTGCTGAGGGAGTTTTGGCTTCACTTTTGTACAATGAGAAGAGGTGGAGATGCCTTGTCCATCTTTATTTACTGTCAATGGTGTTGCGTACTCCAACCAAAACGTGAACAAAGGCTGTATCGGTTTGGTGGATGACTTGACCGCACTGACAGGTATTAAGAATTACTTTATAGGAATAGTCACTCTTAAAGCTGTAAATACCGAATTCCCCGTAAAGTGCGAATGTTTCACAGCAGCAACAGACTGCTAGTAGTTTCTTTGTATTTCATTATGGCATATTGTCTTTTGATATCTCTTTAAATAATACATATCTTATTTTTGAGTCCTTAAAGAATCAAGATTATATGATGTTTATGTTACCCCCCCTATTGTGTTCCATTTTAGAGGTAAAAATGTGCACACATACCTCATGTCAACCCTGAATGAGTCAGTGAACCACTTGAGTCGAAAAAGTCTGGTGACTCCCCTGTTTGCATGACACAATAGTTTGTTTAGTTGTAGACTTTATTGTTTAAATTTCTTGAGTGATGTAACTTTAACTCTACAGGCTGCAGCTTGTGTAACAGGAGGAGGGAGCAGAAAGATGAGGGCTGTTTTGATGTCGACTGTTTCACAGCAGACAGGAGAAATCAAAGCAGAGCTCGGTCTCCCTCCACCTCTCTCTACAGACACATGTACACCTGTTAGCTGGGTGCTGAACTCTGCAGGAGTCAGAGGCCACCAGATAGAGACTGAGGGGGCGAGAGGAGCGGCGGGGGTCACTGTCGGTTTTACAAGCTGCCATTTCAGGGCAGCAGACACACACACACACACACACACACACACACACACACACACACACACACACACACACACACACAAACACACATACACACACACATAGGCACACAGCTGCAGCAGAGAGGGTACACCTGGAGGAAAACAAAGACACAAATGCTCAGGTGTTTAGAGGTGGGCAATGTGGCTGCTTTAAACTTTTAAGAGTTTGGGGGCTGAAGTCACACACACACACACACACACACACACACACACACACACACACATTTACATATTTATGCAACCAGAAGCCAGGCGTCAACACATTTGGAAAACGTTTAACTCCTTTAGATGAAATAGAACGTTCTGTAATATTTTGGCAGATATAGCAAAAAGCTAACAATAACCTGGACGTAATTATAACTCGCAATACGCTAAAAAATACTGATATAAATATGGACGTACAGACACGGAGGAGGAGAATGAAGATTTTAAGGTTGAGAAAATGTCTCGTTTCAAAGCTGTACAAAAATGACAAGAAACTGAAGAAGCACACAAATAACACCGCCAACATGATGCAGCTGGTAATACAGCGCCATTCTGCGAAGCTTGACACACCAAAAACGAAAGAGCCACAGAAATGAGCATGTGCAGCTGTGTTTTAAGGATCTGTGCTGATGTGTAACACATTAGAGCCAGCCTCCATGAGCCAAGTTTTCAAAAATCTGAATGAGAACTTAAATTAGGTGATGAACAGCTTGCCTGTGCTTCAATGCCAGACACACGAGTTGAAACTGTTTATTTAAGGAGATTTTTATCATTTGTGCTTTACATCTTTTTATTTGATTTGGGATTTGTTTTAAAATCTTAGGGTTAGTTTTTTGTAAGTTAGTATCAGTGTCACTTCAGTACAATTAGGAAAAAGGATAGTTTGCATATTTATTCACATAGAATGTAAATGCTTTATCTATGCATCATGTTTTATTTAATTTCTTGGTCAAAATTAGAAAATTCAAAAAAGAAATCATGATTAAAATCACATTGTGACCCCTTTACGTGATACGATTTGTGTTAGTGTTCCCTCAACACGAATGCTAACGATGTGCTTTAAAGCAACAGTGTGCACATTTATTCATTGCACATTCATTTATCTTCTCTCTTGTTATCTCTTGTTTTAGTTTGTCTTTTTTTGCTATCTCCCTCCCCCTCTCGGTATCTCTCGCCCCATCTCTCCTCTCCTGCAGGTCTGTTGTGTGTAATTTATTTTCTGTACACAAACATCTCACTGCAAATAGAAGCTGTTAAGCTGCTGCAGCACTCTGTTTTAATAGACCCCGTCTTTGGTTATGTAATGATTAAATAGCTGACCTGCGCTTTAATGGCATCGTAAATCACTGAACCTGGTTTTACCGTCTCATAAAGCCTGAATCGGCTGCTGGAGGTGGACACGGTCAACATTCACGGTCAAAGGTCTGACTCAAGTGTTTATAGTGTCAGCTGTTTAAGTTGCCCTTTGTGTTTTCATGCTCTGACTGCTCTGCTCGGTGCACACAGAACAATCTCACAATCTCAAAATATCTATGAAAGGAAGTGCTGGCTGGAGGTCGTTCTTTTTTTCGCCAACAACGGGCTACAATGAAGCCGAAATTTTTTTGCACATTGTTGCCCCCAGAGGCTAGATGGTAGCCAATGGTGGCCGATGGTTGCCAATAATAGAAAACATGAACCCCTTTTAAATCTTAAGGAAAATTAGCAGACTCCAGCAGTATCAATGTTGATGAAAAGAAGGGCACCAGCTCAATAATAATACATTTTCTCCAACAAAAAGTCTCTCTACATTTTTCCATGTAAAGGTCAATCTGTAGGATTCTTCTCGTCTAAACACCAAAGAGTGCCGTAATTACACTTTCACTTTTTCTTTTACTGGAAAGAGATCCTGGAGAACATGTTACCTCTTTTTGTTTTCTCCAATGGAAGACGATCTTAAGAGCACTAAAACGTGTTTTCTACATTTAATTTCCCAACTGGATGGTACGTTTCACGTTATACACTGAAAACGCACGCTTAGGTCCACTTTCTGTTTTCTCCACTAAACAGGAACATATGAGAATGTATAGTAACATATGAACAGACATCTTTGCAGCATTTTAGACTGGCCTGGTATTTTCTGAGACAAATCTCTGCAGAGCACTTTGAATGTAAAAGTCCTCACTTTGGATGATGACGCAGGAGAGACAGGCACGTAAAGAAAGCGGAGTAGGCTATAAATAACCACCAGACTAGTGTTAATTTGTCACTAAGATGAGGGTTTAGTCCTGCTCAAAAGAAAAACAAACAGATATCCCTGACCTGCAACCTGAGAAGTTTCTGGCAGGCGGTATTAAAACCACCATCTCCCTCCACCACTTTCTCTACCTCACTGTCCAACTCTTCTGCTCTCTTTTCCTTTTTGGACTTCTTCAAACTTTTATATCTTTCAGAAAGGAGTGTAAGAGAAAACTTGGACTAGTTTTAAAAATTATACTGCGCCAAGTTATCAAGCTCTTTTTATAGTTACAGAGGACATGTGTCAGAAAAAGTCAGAAAGGTCAATATAAAGTCATTTAAAGTGACAGTCTGGTATTTTTGAAGTGAGGTTGTATGATGTACTTCAATAGAGTATTCTAGCCAAAGGAGATGCAGGTCAATGAGGCCCTTTAAAAAGAACAGTCGGAGTGCCAGCACAGAAACTAGACTATACTGCGCTGCAGACAGGACTGTCTCCCCAAATAATTTAGATGATTTTAAGAAAAAGTGAGCCAAAGCACAACTTTGGGGTAAATGTGCACTACATTGAAAAATTCTAACTGTTTACTTTTCCACTAGTTAGCCACTTTTCTTCAGCACTACTTAAGCTGTAGGTGGAGGAACACATTTTTAGTACGCCAAAGTCGTGCTTAAACAAAGTAGCTTGCTAAGGTCCAAGTAGAACAGTCCTGCCAAATTCATTGAAGCTGCACTGGAGTCAAAGAGGACGATCAAAGACTAAATAATTCATCGATCAGCTGTAAAAAATAATCAGAAGCTTTACGGATGAAAAACAACAACACAGCCTTAAAGTAGACCCTTCATTTGCCAGTTACAAAAGTCATGCCCAGAGTTTAAAGCCTTGCTTTGCGAGTTAACATGGATATTACAATGTAAGAAGTTTAACTATGAAAATGCTTTTTGGGAGAGGGTGATCTATTATTCTTAACTCGAACTATTTAGAAAAAGATACAAATTTGAACAAAATAACGCATGAAAAGAGCTTCATGATAGCCTTGCAAAAATTGCGCCTTTGTTTATTTATTGAACTTTGCCTGTGTTGATTCTTCTTCAGTTTGAGGTTGGTGAGGTTCATCTATGATGACACTGTAGCTGTGTGAGTAACACAGACCATTTTAAACACATAAGACAGGAAGGTCAAATGCATGGTGTTGGCCTTGGCATGTATTCACAGCGGCATGATGAGCAAAGAAGGGGGTGGGGTGGATGGGGGGGCTTGTCAAAGTGGGGTCATTCACAGTCAAGAAGTAATGCAACAAATACAAAATGCCTTCATTTCCTTCATGGCCAAATATTGTTAGATGTTTCAGCAGTTAACTTCCCCAAAATGCAAAAAACTACCCAAATGACAATGAAAATGTGGATATAGTTGAACTAGCAGCAACAGGGTGTGACTCAAGAAAGTTCTGAGACACAGGGGTCGTCTCCAAGTAATAAAAGTCATGTCGAAGTCATATCTGAGTCACTGCGATCATGTTAGTCCTAAAGGTTATCACCAAGTTATCTGAGGTCGGAGTCATGGAAACATGGTATTAGTGAAGCTGCAGACTCAGCTCGACCTCGACTAGAAAGACAGAGAGAGACCGAGCTGTACTTGAACCAAGATGCTGACTGAGACAACAGAGACGTCTCTTGAGGCGATCGAAGGAAATGTGCAATGAAAGAAAGACATTTCACATTTTTTTATCACATCTTCTCTCAACTCTCCTTTTTTTTTTTTATCAACCAGCTTTGAAAATATCAAATAATTTTCTCAATACAACTTCTATCAGCTCATCATATGGTATAATTTATTTAATAATCTGAAAATAAAATGTTATGGGTCCTTAATATAGTCCTAAAAGAACTTTTAAGCTGGTAATGAAACAGAGGGGCCCTCAGCTCAGGCCCCTGCAGACTTGAGCGGTGCAGCCCGTGTATCGTTGTTGGTGTGCATAATGCTGTCCCTGTGGTAAGTTGATTTTTAATGAGCCCCGCTAAAATACTTCAAAATAAGTTTGTAATAAGTTTTCATGATCAACAGCGTGCTGGAGCCAATAGTGAAAGTTTATGCCTGGTTCATCACACAACGCACGAGAGAGTACATACCATGCTGCACCTAAAAAGTCTTGATTATTTGACTTTACACCTTTAATATATACTATTGTTCTTATAATTTACGTGTTTTTACTATTTGATGGCTCTTATTATTTAGCTTGAGCCGATCTTTTGGACAGCTGGTTTGAATTTTTTCCCTTGCTCCTTCACTGTCTTGTAAAGCATTTTGAGCTTCTCTCCCTGTTTGAAAAGATCCTTAAGATAAATGCATTTTTTAAATCAAAAGAGTGAGGGTTGTTATTCTTTTGTCCAGGCTACTGTCTAGGAGGTTGAGTTTTTTTTTTTTTTTTTTTACTTGTGATGTCAGAGTTCTGTCCAAAGTCTGTGTAAGGAAATATGATGACTTGAGGTAAAGTGAGAAAATCAGAGGGAGTGGCGATGTTAAAACATGAAGAATACGATTGATAGGGAAGAAACAAAACACGGGTCAACACAGAGCTGATCCTCTCTTTCGTTTTCTATGTTCAACGTTCAACTCAATTAAGAGCAGAGGAAATAAAGTAAGTGTGATGTTTTAGAGGGAGAGACACAAAACAGCCTGGCTGCATCACATACACACACACACACACACACACACACACACACACACACACACACACACATACACACCGCGGTACACAAATACACATGCACACAAACTCACACACAACTACACACACCCTGGAAACAGAGCTTGACGCTAAAGAGTTGTGAAAGCAGTGATGCTCTCTGACTCCCCCTCTCTGTCTCGCTCTCTCTTCCTGTGTCCTGACCCCCCAATCTCGCCGTCTATCTCTCTTTCTCTCTCAAACACACACACAAAACTCACACACAAACGCATGCGCGCACACACACACACACACACACACACACACACACACACACACACACTCTCTCTCACTCCACAACAGCCGTTTTGGGGAAAAAAATATGCTCCAGAGTTTTGTTCTATTTACGCTGCCCTTTCACATCAGGTCAATGTGTGAATCTGTGTGTGTGCGTGTGTGTGTGTGTGTGTGTGTGTGTGTGTGTGTGTGTGTGTCTGTGTGTGTGTTTGTTTGTGTGTGCTGTGCAACTCTCATTGCATTTGCATGTATCACCTCATGGCTAACCGGCTCCTGCAGCATGCAAACGCAGAGAGAGAGACTGAAGCTAGAACTGAGCAGAATAGATCCGCCTGTTTGTTCCACTCTACACCTGCTCCATAATGTGTTGTTGGATTTTTTAAAAACATTTGTTATGCACTATTGCTTACATTTATCAGTTAATATAAAGAAGAATATATAAACAGAAAAAAGCACGAGTGTTTCTGTCTTTATGGGATTTTAAACTTTACCTGTACATCAGAGATAAAAATGACGATGATGATGATGATGGAGTCATTAATAATTTTTTCGAGTCTGATCAGACGGGATAACTTTTGTAAACTTGTTTACCATTTCAGATGCAATAAAATGCCCCTTCCCATCTTATTGTTGATCGTTTTGCATTACACTTAATATTAATATATAATACATAATATTGACCGGAGACGTGGTAAAACTAGGAGAAATATCGGAGATGCTTCTGAAAAATGGAGAGAGCTTTGAGGCAACAAAGGTTCCAAGACCGATGCAGAAGTGACTAAACACTGAGACTCCTGAGTGTGCATGGAGGGAGGAGGGGGCGGGGATAGACAGCTCTCTCCAATGTTTTGAATTTGAACTGCAGTACACATTTTAAAAACTAGGTGTCAGGGTTACATGTTGCTCCTATAAAATACAGCCAAGATTTTGAAGTATAAAATAAGTTTATACGTAACTGAAAATTTCCCAAATATTATAAAACGATAAATAATTAGTGTTTGAAAATATGTAATTAATTATCTTCCTCTCAGAACACTTTGGAGTTTATCTTGTGACACGTTTTGGGGTCCAGACCCAGAGGTTTGGAAACACTGTGATAGATGGGGCATGAAGAGAGGGAGGAAGAGAGAGAGAGAGAGAGAGAGAGAGAGAGAGAGAGAGAGAGAACAGGTGCACAACATGATTAAAGAGGAGGGGTGATGATGAACTGAGTCAGCACAGGTGTGTACGCACACACACACACACACGCACACACATTCACACAAACTCACTAACACACAACACAGCATGACACAAATCTGTCATTTCATGTTAGATACAAAGAGAGGAAACTGGAGACTACTAAACATCTCCTCGTTTTCGCCTCAGTACACAACATACAAAACACTCACACGCTTGCGCACACGCGCACACACATACGCACACATACAATTTTTAGCTTTTTTAGCTCAAGAATGTATTAAACTCTGACAAATTTAACACAACCATTACAAGAGATATGCACAAACCAACACAAACGGGCACCATACGTCATATGAGGAAATGTAGCGAGACAGAAGGCACACACACACACATAGACACAAATAGAAAAAGAACCATCACACACACACACACACACACACACACACACACACACACACACACACACACACACACACACACACACACACACACACCTACTAATATACACCCTTTTAGCACAAACACATCACATACACAGCTTTGCAAAGTGAGAAAAATGGAGACCATAATGCCCTGCCTGAGGCCTCCAATTCTTTCCGAGGGACCCTCTTATTGTGAGTGTGTGTGTGTGTGAGTGTGTGTGTGTGTGTGTGAGTGTGTGTGTGTGTGTGTGAGTGTGTGCGTGCGTGCGTGCGTGCGTGTAGTATGAATTGAGCCATTACAGAGACGACAGAGATGCAATTTTATTATTTTCTTCAGTGTTTCTGCACAAGTTCGATGTCAATAATTATTCAATTCTACTCCAAATGGATGCATTCAGGGAAGTTCAGAAATCTAATCAAATTAAGCCAACAACCATAAGGTGAATAACATATTTTGTAACTTTTTAAAATAAACCCATTTTTAAAATGTTATGTCTTGAGCTATGGTTTTTAGATGTAAGGATTAATAACATGAGCTCACCGTCAACACGTGTACACACACACAGATGGTAACCTACGGGGGAAGAGCCGCTGACTTACATAAGCACACCTGAGCTTGTTTACGTCACACACAGGTGTGTTTTTGTGTGAACTCAAAAGCCACACAGTCAGATGAGCAGACAGTCAGATCTCCTCCTTACCTCACCCCTCTCCTCCTCCCCCTCGGAGCCTTCGCTCTGCTCCTCCTCCCCCTCCTCCTCCTCTTCCTCCTCCTCCTCCTCTGGGAACTCCACGTCAGACTCTCCGGGGGCAATGGGGACACTGATGGTCAGGTTAGGGTTCGTCATGTAGCTGTCGTCCTCCGGCACCACATACTTCTCTACATGACGTCCTGAGACAAACACACACACACACACACACACACACACACACACACACACAAACACACACACACACACACACACACACACACACACAAACACACACACACACACAGATAAAAGCAAAGATTACTGGACAAGCTCATGTCTTTATTTTTGACCAAGATTAACTCATTTATTGTGTGATTTGAACTGCTTGGTGGTGCCTTCAGGTTTGCTTTGACATTAGAAGATGAATTGTAGTTTACTAGTTTACTGCAGACAACAATCAGTTGTAGCAAACTGATTCTTCAAATCACCTAGATCTTAAAGGTAGAGTCAGTAACAATGTTTGTTGCAGCTTGTAAACGCAACATTCAAATTTGGCCCCTCCTCCTGGGCTCCACGCCACCAGAGGACTTGTTATGCATGACCTGAAACGATAAAAGTTGTTGTACTGGTCGATGGCAGGACTTAGCATGTTCATTTACTGCTTGATTCCTCTAGATTACTTGATTATATCTGTTCATGTTGTATTGTTTTACTTTGAATAAACTCATTTTAAGATTTGATCAACATTTGATGGCTTTCATCCTGTTGGGTTACCGTTGAACAATCTGGCCCTGGTTATTTCTTAAGCAGCAGCTTTTTTTTTTGACTCTCTGACTAAACAAATAGGGTTCAACTTGTTAATCAAAAGCTGAGCTATTCAGCTGCAATGTGTCACATTTTATTTAACAGACGGACACAGAGAGAGAGACAGACTTTTATTAGGGGGCGAGCAGGAACAAGTCACCTTAAAGTGGGGGTGAACAGATTCACACATGCAGCTGTGTGTGAACAGAGGGTCAAGAAACATTGGCTGGATTGTGCCATTTGAATTTGGAGGAGGATAGATAAATGTATTCTGATACTGTGTGTGTGTGTGTGTGTGTGTGTGTGTGTGTGTGCGCATGTGTGTGTTAGTATGTTACCTATGACAGCTCCGTTGGCCTCTGTGTGGATGGTGCTCAGCCGTTTGAGCTTCATCATGGCTTTGGCCTCCTTTCTCTTCTGACGACGACGCTTCAGGTTCCCGTTGAAGAAATCCACCACCTGAGCATCACACACACACACACACACACACACACACACACACACACACACACACACACACACACACACATAGAAAAGATGAAACAGTTTGACGACGAGAGAGTGAACTTCATTCAGCTCACACATGCACACACAGGTGTCGTGACCTCACCTGTCTGCGGCACCAGCCCAGGCCTCTGGTGATCCTGTGGATGGCGATATGCAGGTTGTTCATCTCGCCATCGTCGTCCGGCGCTGACAAGTTGTCAGAGCTGAAACTGCTGAGGAGCAGAGCCAGGAAGAGGTTCAACAGCTGGAGAGAGAGAGAGAGAGAGAGAAACAGAGACAGAAAATAAATCAGAAAATGGGTGATATCACTTGAAACATCTGCCCTGGATCAGTTCTTACTTTATCTGTGTTTATGTGATGGATCCATAAACTTTAGAACATTCTAGATCAGTTACAGATTCTGCATATGAATAGAGATTCTTCAGTTAATTATCAACGTTATTAACTGTTACCAAATTTAATATAACTTACAATTTGATTAACTTTGGATTTTGGATTGCATCGGGAGTGTTTGGTTTTGCAGGAGACCAGCCAGTGTGCAGATCAGAAGAAGCGATATGTAACCCTAGAGAACCGTCGACGGTTATGTAACGATGATTTTGATTAATGTCTATAAACACACAGGCTGCAGGAATCTGCTCTTAGACAAAAGATTCTCATCTATGACTCGATTCTCACTCCTCAAGTTTTCAGTCAGATAGTAAACAAAGACAACACACAGAAGAGGGACTTTGCTGTCGTGTCCAGAGGATATATCCTTTATCTGAGACTGTTCCCATCCAACTGATTTGCAGATCTGAAATGTTTCCACATGGAAATAAAACGCTTGTTTAATTCACAAAGCTCAACTTTCGATCAAACCAGGAAACAAATCTTGACAACAGATGGTCCTTCCTGCTTTGCTATCCTAAATATATTAAGTTAACCAGAAAACACACACACACACAAACACACAAACACACACACACACACTCACTGTGGTATCATAGCTTCTGAGCAGGTTGATTATTCAGCGTGTGATGAATAATGCCTGAGACTCTCTGTAACTGATCACTGAGCCTGAGTGCTGCTCTCAGGCAGATTGGCTTCTCTTTAACCACAGCTGAGTGTACGAGATGAGCACGTCCGGGTCAGGTGGATCAGGTGTTTTCTTCTTCTGATTACAGACACACACACACACACAAATCAGACCTGCACACACACTCACTCACTCACACACACACAGACACATAGACACACATCAGACCTGCACACACATCAGAGCTGTACACACACACACACGCACACACACACACGCACACACACACACACACACACACACACACACACACACACATCAGAGCTGTACACACACACACACACACACACACACACACACACACACACACACACACACACACACACACACACACACACACACACACATCAGACCTTCTGAAACTTTACAAATAAAGAGTGAAAATGTTGTCATGTGCTTCAGCTATGTTTAAAGAAACTGCTGTGGACTGTTGGAGGCTTTGTGTTGAACAACAAAAGAAACCAAAACCTGCTGCAAATAATCTGCTAGACAGAGACACCGGGGTCTCCACTGGTCACTGTGGAGAGTTTGTCCTGTCCTGCACACCAGTCCATCATCTGTCATCTTCACGTACGCACGCACGCACGCACGCACGCACGCACGCACGCACGCACGCACGCACGCACGCACGCACGCACGCACGCACGCACGCACTGCAGCTCTTTGTTTGTTACTCAACAACTTGACTGGAACCAGCAGCTTCCCAGTCTGTGGTTACGTAAGAGGAAACCGGGCCAGTGGGTCAATGATGGACAGACCTCTGACCCCACATGAAGGATATCACATAAATTAAAGAATATTTGGTCTTAAGGTTAGATAAGAACATTTGGTAGCTGCAGTGAAATGAATAACCCTGAAGGCGTATTTTACATTTGTATTATTTGTCTTAATTAAATCTGATATATCTACTGTAAGTAAATCTGAAAATCTTTGAAATAATAAATACAGAAAGAAAATACTTTTCATTATCCTCTTGACTATAAATCAATACAACCATTCTTTTATTGAGGTGGTTTATATATAAATTGACTTTTAGTTTCAAGCTGTCATGTAACATACGCTAACTTCCAGATCAACACACATCAAATCAATATTACATCATAGCACCATGGCTCTGTTTAGTGAGTGTGTTGATGTGAAATCTTTAGACAAAGTGTGTGTACATGTATGTGTGTGTGTCACTGTGGGAATACGAGCAAGTGTGTGTTATACAATGCACACTAAGCAAAACAAATGTGTGTTGACTGTTTTTAAATGTGTGAAAGAAATAAAATGTGAGTGTGTTGTGTGTGTGTGTGTGTGTGTGTGTGTGTGTGTGTGTGTATTGATCCCAGCTGGTGTAGTGTGTGTTTTTGCCCCCGATCGGTGTCCGGTTGTCACATGCCTGGTGTCACTGTACCGAAGTGCTAGTGTCTGATTGGCTGCAGCTCCACCCAAACACCAATAGATCAATGGTGTTGATTGGTTAACATGGCAACATGCCCCGACAGTTCGACCAATGACCTTGTTGTGTCCCGATAGCAGATAATACACGACTGACAGAAGACAGCCGTCATCAGTTTACTGATTAAAGCTGCTCATACAGCAGAATATAAGATGAACATTATTAATCTCATATTGAGGTCAAATTACACAATAAAAAAAACAGAAACAGAAAAGGAAGAGGTAGACCAGCAACTCCTTTGTTCTATGTCAAAGTTCATCTTTTTATCAATGGAGTGTGGTGGCTTTGAAGAGAACAATGTAACTTGCGTTTCGGGTTAAAAATAAGTTTTATCTCTTATCTCTTAAAAAAGAGTTCTCAATGTCATTTAGAACCAAAAGAATGAAAGAAAACAAACGAGACCAAGTGTAAAATGCAGTGATTTCCCTTTAAGAAATCAATCAATGAGAGCAGAGTGATAGTGCACTTAGTTTAACCTCTGCATATTTGACTGGTGTTGATCTGGTTCCAGCGGAACAATCACAATGGAATAAAGACCTGCTGTTCTGCACGGGAAACCCCTCTAAAGAACAGAGACATCAAAGCACAATATGTGTTTAATGAGAGAAAATAACGTGTGTATGTGTGACGAAAAGAAAGTGTGTGTCCAAGTATCAGTTTGGACGAGTTGTCAAGTTTCTATGATGGCAGTAAGAGCCATCTGTGTGTGTGTGTGTGTGTGTGTGTGTGTGTGTGTGTGTGTGTGTGTGTGTGTGTGTGTGTGTGTGTGTGTGTGTGTGTGTGTGTCTCTGGACCTGAGGACCACCTGATCCCGATTTCACCTCATTTAACTCGTTTGGCGGCTCGCACCAATTACTGTAGGTTTCAGAAGTGGGTCAACACTCCCTACAAACACACAGGGAGACACTGACACACACACACAGAATCTGTGAAACGAGCAAGGCAAAACCCAGCTGAGCCTCTCGTCTTCATCGAGGGGAAGGACAGAATTCACCTTCTAAGACATATTTTGTCAATTTAACGTAACAGTTTTCATGTCATTCTCGTCTGCTTTTCACCGCCTCTTTATACGTGTCATCTTATTGCTTCAGTGTTTCTTACTGTCACTAACAAAGGGAATATTTCTGACCTTATTAGACCCCTACTTTCTCCCTCTGTGACAAAAGTACTTCTTCTTAAAGAAAGTCAAAGAAGCTGATAGCATGTGTAAAAGCAGGGCTGAAACCCAAAGCTAAAGGCGATAGTCCTTTGAAACAACTTATTGTGTGTGTTTGATTCACTTAAAACTCAACCTCTCCAAAAGTGCCCAAAAAAGGAAGAATTGGTGAAAAGTTAAGTGTTCATCCACTACTAATAAGGTGGCTCATCTGTGGTTTGGAGACAGACTTTTTATCAAGGTCTATTTGTGTCCAAATGTGCACCCTTAAATCTGCTATTTTGCCTGAGTTTACCCCCCCCCCCCCCCCCATTATGGATGAAGCATCCACACTAAAGTTTGTAAAAAATAAACTTCCTATACGTGTGCCTGAGGAGAGTTGGCCCCTCAGGTGTTCAGGTGCTGATGAAGGCGTGCAGCCAAAAACATTTGGGATGAATAAACACGGTTAGAGGGGAGAACAGTTGTCAGCCCAGGTGTTTGTGTATTTCACTTGACTTGCCTTTGTTATTATAGCTCTGAGGGTGTGCACCTCGCTGGGTGAGTAATCTGAATTTGTTCATGTTAAATCTCCACACGCCATCTTAATGTAGACACAAAAACACCGGGCACCGCACTGAAACAGGGGTGGATTATAAACAACTAAGAGTTAGGATGTCTTTTTATTAGCAAAAGACCAAGGTAAATTTAACCAAACAAACTTCAAGCATCATATAACGTAGAGTTGTAATGACACACATGGCAGAAGCTGTTTTAAATCCTGGACACCACAGCCATGGGCAGCCCGTATTTCAAGGATAATCACACTTAATATACGAGTTATCCATGACTTATTCAACACTTTTCTACATATTCCTCATCAGACTTCTTTATATGCAGTCTAACACACATATACAGTACTTCTGTCTTATTATTACAAATATGAATTTACTAGGGACTGTTTACACCTTGCATTAACTTCCATCCTGGGTGACCTGATAACAAGTGTACAGCCTTGATGCTTGCGGTGAACACACCTCAATGTGACTGAAGGACTGATTGAGATCCGACAGCTCAGACCACAGACGCAGGAATTCAAGCACACATTTATCCACATCGGTTTGGTAGTGTAAACACTAATGCATCCTGGGCAGCATTAAGGACCGCCCCCTCAACAGGGACAATAATGCTACCTCCTGCTGGGCGAAAACAATGATGAATTTGGTTTATTAAAACACACAGGATCTTATTTGCATGTGATGCAAGGAAGTGAATTCTGATCTAAAGTAACACTCAGTGTAGACACATTGTTAATACAGAGTGTACTAAAGTGACCTCTTGTCCATCGACTTACTTCACTCACAGTAACCAAAAGCTGATGAAAGGTTTCTTTTGTCTTCTACCAGATGTTTCTCACTTAGAAAAGATCCGACCACCATTTATCAAACACAGAATTAATGCAATTAATCAAATCATTAGCCTATAGTTTGACTATTCAAACTGCTGATTTGTGGTTTCTAAACAGTTTAAAAATGATAAAAATGATTAAAGTAAAAAAAAAACAACAACACATTGATTAAAAAAGGA